GTCCTGGAGCCCTGTCTATGGCCTGAGGGAGGTGTCTGGGGAGAGGGTGGTCTCTGATTCAGCTGTAGCAAACACAAGTGAAAGCAGAGTGCATACAAGATATATTTTTTTATTAAATTGTCTTAAATATAATCAGGATAAATGAACAGTAGCATGATAAACATGTGTGTCTGCATCATTCATTTAATACACTGTGACACTGAAATCATGCTCCAAAACCAAGAGAAAAACTGAAAAAAACACCACATTTCCACTGACGCTGTCCTTGCACTGCTACTGCCACTGTGTCCTTGAGCAAGACAACTCCTCATTCTCTCCTTAATGTTTTGTGCTACTCAGTGAAGTGACTTTGGGAATATCTAAAGAGCCGATATTATGCCATTTTCATATCCATGTTATAATGTTGTTTCCTCCTCAAAAACCTGTTGTGTTTTGTTTCATTCATGTATGTTTTTAAACTCAAACAACTTCACCATTTGGATCATTTCTGAAATTGACCATCTCTGTTGAACTAAAAGTAAAAAGGTAGCTGTTAACTTAAATTGTTACTCAAATTTGTGTGAATAAAACAGAACACAGAGACATTATAGCATGACTTAAAGCTCACCAGAGTCAATTTTGCGTAATATAGAACCTTCAAAATGTGCGAAAAGAAGCTGCAGGACCATTGAATACAGCTTCAAAAATGTACTTTTCTGAGAATTCATCCATGTTTAATATTAGCTGCGGTTACAAAGCTCACCAAAATCTGCTTAGTGTCTGATTTATAGACTTTTAAAATCACTTACAGAAGATACAAACTGCACCATTACATTTGAATAATCTTAATAAGAATTAGGATTTGGAGTGTGCACGTTAACTGCATTCCTCATCATTTCCAGTTGTATCTTGAGTGATTCGGAGGGGCCGATGGCGCAGATTGACAACCTCGCTTCCGTCAGTCTGCCCCAGGGCAGCTGTGGCTACAGTGGTAGCTTACCACCACTGAGTGTGGAGTGACTGAATAATGAACTGTAAAGCGCTTTGGGTATCTTGAAAGGTGTTATATAAATGCTATCAATCAATCAATCAAATTCCTGCATGTTTGTCTTCCATTTGAGGCTTGAGAGGAAATTCCTGATTTCACCTACCCCACTCTACCCGCTCTACATGATCCTGGAGTTTTGGAGTTTTTATTTGACTGTTTTGTCCCTAAATTAAGATATAAACTTTAATAGTTGTTAGTGTTAGCAACAGGTTTCATTGACAGAGTTGCTAAAGCACTACCCCCTGCCCAAATAGTGGTGCAGGCAGGAAGGGGATTGTACATCCTCGCTCCTGATTGGTTCTTTGGTTGCCATGGTACACGCACTTGGACTTCCTAATATGAATCCTGGCAAATTAGTCGCTAAAACTTCTACAACGCTATGGGTGAAGTCACACTCCCTCATACGACTTCTGTTGTACAGTCTATTGTCTTTTGTCCAATGAATGTGAACAAAACTTCACATAATGCTACAGAATCAAGCAGCCCAGCAAAATACAAAAAGTACTATTGTAATGCACAGTTTGGGCACAACCAATATAAAAAGGAATGTGCACAGCCAGGAGAGGGCCTTTATCACTGCTTGTGGTTTTAAGTTGTCGTTACTGAATCAAGCTACAAAATGTGGGAAAATACAGTTTTGGCAAATACATTTCCTTTTTAAATTACCTCAAAACCAGCAAAACAAGTTTAATAATTATTCAAAACTAAATAAATATGCTACCCACTGACCCAAAATTGACAGTTCAACCCCGGCCCTGTGCATATTGTTGTGTCCATGTGCAAGACACTTCATTATTCAGAATATAAGTGATAGAAGGTAATTTGCATATAGATGTTTGTGCAGTGCGAACAGTGGAAATGTGGTTAAAATAGTTAAGGTTAAATAAGTGTTAAATACAGGCCATGACATCATCGTATCGTCTCCTCAACAAACAAGAAATACACTTTATATAAATAGATTTTCTGTTTAAAGGTGCATTATGTAACTTTTCTGGTGAAGGGTGCGTGAAATGCTTTTTTTTACATGGAGATGTTATTGCTTTGTCTGGAATGTTTCACAGTATGGCATTAAACCTTTCTATCTTCATGAGACAAAACCAGACCAAGAGAGGCGACCCCCCTCACCCTCAGAATGCCTGTTTTTGGAGGTGTTGTTTCAGCTATAAAACCATCTGTGATTGAATAAATGTACGGTAGAGCCATTTAAAGTCATACTGTGGAACATTCCAGGAAGAGCAATGACATATCCATAGAAACAAGTTGACAGACCCCCAACCAAAAAGTTACACAGTGCACCTTTAAACCACACCTTCTGTATGTGCTTACAACCGTGAAAACATTTGTTGAAAGAAATTTGAATAATTTGGTGATTAGTGCAGGAAACACACTTATATTAAAGAAGGGGTATTGTGCAATATGGAGCTTTGTTCCATGTTAAAATGTAGCTCGCTCATCAAAAACATGCTTAAAGAGGTTTTACGTGTCACCCATGCATGTTTGAGTAATTAAGAGATCTCTCCCGGGCCTTATTCAAACCCTCTCGAATGGTTATGTCTAATGCTCAATCCATATTTTTCATAAATATACAAAAAACATGAACAAACAACACACTACAGCTTCACAAACCTGATGTGCAGTAGTTTCATTAGCAGGATGTACGCTGATTGTGTTGTGATAGCACTTTGAAGGGGGAGTGCCTTAGCATGGAGAACAAAGGGAGGGGTGACTCAGAGCTTCAAAAACATGATACTTATAACACATTTTAATACGCTGTTTTTGCCAATTACAGCCTTTTCAAAACAGTAAAAGGAAACATGGTAATCTAAATAAGCTGTGTAAAATACCCCCTCTTTAAATCACGTTTCTTTTTTTTTTTGCTTTTTGCTTCTAACAAAAGAATAAAACACGTTGCATAAGTGACAGTAATTGAATAATATAATAATCTTAATCGTGTTGTCAAGCTTCTATTGGTCAGAAACACACTGTAACATTTGGATATTAAATATATTTAAAATCAGATTTTAACCATTAAAATTAAACAAGGTCCAGATTGCCCCAGAGTAACAATGGCCTTTGAAAGTTTAAAGTTTGATCTCACTGTGTAACTTTTCTGGCCTGGAATATTCCACCACAGCATGGCATTTAACTCATTTCTCTCCATGTTTTGTTTGTTTGTTTTTTTACAGAAAGTCAGTGGGAAAATGTTCTGATTAATTTACTTTCAGAACAAGGGGCGTGCCGTTACTGCTGGGCTCCTTTACACCCACACTGTCCACCAGAAAAGTTACATAGCTCGTCTTTAAAGTTCATTTGCAAATCCTTTAATAACTGGCCTGTAGTTTTCCCTTTGCATAGTGTTTTAAAGGCCTATTTTCCTCTTGATCAAAAACTAACAATAATTAAAATACGGATAGCAGTTTTGTTTTGTTTTTTGCAAATGAACTGTTCAAATTGTAATAGAAATACATTTATACAAGTCAAATTTATTTAGTCAGACACGAAAGTCATTTGGCAGATATTAAGCCAGATGCCCTTTTTTCTAAAACTGAAATCACCTTGTGATGTCATGTATTAACACAGAAAGTGATCCACTGTTTTTAAACTCCACACACCTTCACTAGAATCATTTAGATGATTTGCATCCCTGTAATTGCTCAACTTTGAAGCTACAAAAAATTTTTTTGCCTCATTGAAATATTACAGATTTTTATTAACAAACTCAAGGAAATGTAAAACGTATAAAAAATTTTAAAAAAGATTTTAGATTAGATTTTTGAAAGGGCAACTACTGCTTAAGGTTATTCTTGTGCATTGCTATATACATATACAAATTTCTGTTAACTTGAAAACTACCACTACATGACATCACAAGGTGGAACAGAGCATTTTGAGCTTTGGAGATGTAAACAGACTAATAATAAAGTGTTATTCAAACATGTGTGAATGAAACAAAACACAACTCCAGGTATATTTTTGATGAGGAAACAACATTATAACATGGCTTAAAGCTCACAAGAGTAAATTTTGTGTTGTGTTGTTGTTGTGCCTTTGAGCAAGACATTACCGTCTCCATTGTAAGCAGTAGGGCATCTGAGTTAAATCTCTGACAGATCAGATTAAAACAAGCACATCCAAAGTGCTGGAATTACAATTATTATTCTGAATAGAACCCAAACCTCTCAGGCCTGTCTGCCAGCGTTCGTGATGCGTTCAAGTGCACTCTGTTCAACAAAGTTCTGTTGGTTTTCAGTCTTTAAATGCAACGTAAAATAAGTGTCCAGTATCACCGCTTAAAAACATTTTCATGTCTCTTCATTTGTTCAAAATCCAGTGAAACCAATCGGAACAGCTCCTTCGCAGATGGGGCGGGTCCAGTGCTTCATTCTGTGTTCTGACTGGTTGAAAATCTGTTTGTTTTTATTGCCTGATTAAAGATTTTTTCATGTGCATTGAAACAACAAGATCAGATGAAAAATTCCAATGCATTTTTACCATAGAGATTCTTAAATTGTAATATTTTACGTGATACTTTACTTCAAAATCAAATTACTCAAGTTGAAGTACAAAGTAATGGTCTAAGAACTTAATCAAGTAAGAGTTTAAAAAAAAGTATTTGGGAAAGATATTACTCAAGTAGGATGTATTTGCCAAGCAATTACATTTTTAACAACTTACATTACTAGTTGTTTTTAGCTTTACTGTGACTATTTCAAGATCTGGAAATGGGTCCCACTGCTGCTGTCAGATTTGACCCAGAGAAACTGAAGGATGGGTCAAATGCAGAGGACATATTTCCCTACAGTGTATCTTAAACTTAACCTAAGTGAGGAATAGCCTTGGGCCGCTTTTAAAATGAACTATGTTTGTGTTTAATATTGTCCAAAACTCTATGGTGAAAAGGAATTGCAATTTTACTTCCAGAACCAGAAGTGGGTGGGCACTGTTAGCGTGTTGGTCCTGAATTGCGGCGGTGGTATCGTCCAATCAGGTGGCTCAGCTGTGGTCACATGCCGGTGGAGGAGAGCCCACCCCCTTTGCTCATGCAGGGGACCAATCGGCCGTTCTCCCCCAGGCCCGGAGCTCCCGAGGCGGACAGACTGCTCATGACCACCCCCCCTCCTCCTGGAGCCATCCCACTGAGGCTGGAGCTCATCATGGCAGCGTCGATCAGCTCCTGAAATCAGAAATACAAGGTTATCCTCTGCACCTTTTCCTCTGTATCTTCTCTTCTGCACTCTGACCCTCTTCTCCTGTTTTTCTGCTCCTCTGACCCTCTCCTCTACTCCATCTGACCCTCTCCTCTGCTTCCTCTGCTCCTCTAAACCTCTTCTCTACTTCCTCTGCTCCATCTGACTTTCTCCTCTGCTTCCTCTGCTCCTCTAACTCTCTCTTCAGTGCCATCTTACCTTCTCCTCTGCCCTATCTGACCCTGTAGTCTGCATCCTCTGCTCCTCTGACCCTCTCCTCTGCTTCCTCTGCTCCATCTGACCTTCTTCTCTGCTCCTCTGACTCTCTCCTCTGCACCATCTGGCCCTCTCTCCTGCTTCTTCTGCTCCATCTGACCGTTTGCTCTGCTTCCTCTGCTCCTCTCACCCTCTCCTCTGCTTTCTCTGACTCTCTCCTCTGCTCCTCTCACCCTCTCCTCTGCTCCTCTGACTCTGTCCTCTGCTCCTCTCACCCTCTCCTCTGCTTCCTCTGCTCCATCTGTCCCTTTCTCTGCTACATCTTGCCTCTTCTCTACTCCTCTGCTCCATCTGACCCTTTGCTCTGCTTCCTCTGCTCCTCTCACCCTCTCCTCTGCTTCCTCTGCTCCATCTGTCCCTCTCTCTGCTACATCTGACCCTCTTCTCTACTCCTCTGCTCCATCTGACCCTCTACTCTGCTTCCTCTGCTCATCTCACCCTCTTCTCTGCTTCCTCTGCTCATCTCACCCTCTTCTCTGTTTCCTCTGCTCCATCTGACCTTCTTCTCTGTTTCCTCTTGTCCTAGGACCTTCTCCTCTGCTCTATCTGGCTCTCTCCTCTGCTCCCCTGCATCATCTCTCCTCTCAGACTAAAATTAAAATACAGTCTGTCTCATTTTGTAATTTGAAAATCGGGTAATGCAGCTTTAAAGGAGACATGTCTTATTTTCTTTTTCATGCATTTAGTATTAACCCACCCACTCTCCCTCTTTTGTCTTACTTTTTCTCAGTCCATATTTCACTCTATATGTCAATTATTCTGAACAGAAAAATAGCAATTATATATTTTTCCCAAATCGTTCGGACCTAAATGTATCTAAGTTCAATGTGGGCAAGGATAGGGGGCACGTGAAAACAGGATTTTTAAAGCACTCAAGCCTCAAATGCAGGTCAATACAGGATTACTCAAACAGGCACGAAACAGTAAGATAATGATGGAGCAATAGTATTATAACATTACAAAGCCCCTTTTAAAGGGACATTCTCCTTTAGAGTTGAAAGTGTCAGCTCTGTGGAGTGTTGAGGCGACACTTGAAAGCAGCGCAGAGCAGGGGGCTTGTTTGTCCCTGTGCGATGCCTTCACTGACCCTCTGATGCTCTGTTCTTTTTAATGAGGCTCTGCTCTGTTCAAAGGGTGTGGGTCAGACATATTCACTGCCCTCTGGGGTGTGGGACATCTCAGTTATGTTTCATTTTGTTCAATTACACCAAATGTAACTCCAACAAAGACTTCTGTTCATGGTGAATGAAAACGGCTGAATGGACTCCTCACAATGCAGCGGCTTTTCTGACAAGTACAACAATTAGATTTATTTTTCAAATCGGAATTGAGTTCATAGGGCACATTTTAGGAGCATTCGCATCTAAGAGAGAGTGGAAGCTGAACTTATCTAAGAATTCCATGCTTTTCAGAACATGTTTTAGCAGCTTTTACACAGAATAAGACCCCATGAAGACACTGGGAGGGCATCAGACACACGTGGCATCTGACACACATGGACATTTAGTTATTAAAGAAGAAAAACTAAATCTGAAGATAAAGATGTAGATTAAGAAAATAAAATTGGAGAGCAGTGGGTGTATGCAATCATTTGTTTTTCAAAGTAAAACCAAAAACAAGAAAAAGAAAAAACTAAGATTTTCTTCATTATTTGTCTCCAAAACCAAAATGAAAATAAAACGGATAACAATTTTTAAAATTTATTTATTTATTTTCAGTTTTCAATTTTGTGTTTAAATGAATAATGAAAAAAAATAATTATTCATTTAAAAAATGACTTAAACTGCGATGCCGGATTTTTGGGTGTTGGGTGATCAGGACTGAGAATGAGACCAATCCGGGACCAGACCTGGACCAGACCAGGACTGAGACCGGGACCAGAGCAGGACTGAGACCGGGACCAGAGCAGACCAGACCTGAGACCAGGACTAAGACCTGGACTGAGACTGGGACCAGACCAGGACTGAGACCGGGGATAGACCGGGACCAGACCAGGACTGAGACTAGGACCAGACTGGGACTGAGACCGGGACTGAGACCGGGACCAGACCGGGACTAGACTGGGAGCAGATTGGGACCAGATCGGGACCAGATCAGTGCCAGACTGGGACTGAGACCGGGACCGAGACCGGGACAAGAACGGAATTGAGACCGGGCTGAGACCAGGACTAAGACAGGTTTAGTCCTGGTTTAGACCTGGTTCAGTCCTGGTTCAGTCCAGCATCACAGTTTAAGTCATCGAAAACGGAAACTGCCATTATCCGTATTTTGTTTTTTTTTCCATCATTCCTTTAAACACAAAATGGAAAACTGAAAAAACTAATTGTTATCTGCTTTGTTTTTTTGTTTTTTGTTTTTTTCTTATTTTTGCTTTTATTTTAAAAAAATGAATGAACAAATGATACATGGATTGTATGCCAGTAGTGATGAAAATGGGGGTTGACTGACAAAATGGCATCTTGAAAGTGAGAAATTAAAAATCGCTCAAACATGCATAAATACAACTTCAGGGGGTCAATGAGAAGGAAATAACTGTAAGAAGCTCTGAAAAGTGGACTCACCCTCATACGTCGAGACTCGATCCTGGACTTGTAGCAGAACTCGAGCAGAGCGACCATCATGGCGAGCCCTAGTCCTCCGATCAGAATATAGAAGACTCCGGCCACATTACTGAGACTGAGGGCGCTGGTCTTATCCTGCAACACACAACAGCATCAGGGTCCATACTGACGCTGTGTCCTCGAGCAAGACACTTCTTCACCCTCCTCGGCTGTGTGTGATAGTGGGGCATGAGTGGATGCGTGGTGGTCAGAGGGGCTGATAAAAGTGGGCGAGGCTGGCGAACTGAATATCTGCTTTTTATATATTTTTGTTTGTTTTTATCTCAATCGGATTTTCAGACAATGTTTTAACAATGCATTCGTTTTCCTCCCTTTGTCTCCTCTCTTCTCCCCCTTTTATTTTGTTCTGTCCCCCTCTTTTTTCATCTACTTACTCCTCTATTCTCTATCATCCTCTCCTCCCTTTCTCTCCCTTCTTACTGTTTTTCTCCCTCCCTCTGTCACCCTCCTCTCTCCTCCCACTCTCTCTTCTCTCTTTCACTCTCTTCCACTCTAGTCTCCTCTCTTTCTCCTCTGCCTGACACTCTCTCCTGTCTCCTCTCTCCCTCGTCCTCTCCTCTTACACCTCCATTTCCCTCTGTCTTTCCTATACTCTTCTTTCTTCCCCTCCCTCTCTTCCTCCTCTTGTTGACACTCTCTTCTCCCCCCTCTCTCATCTCTCTTCCTCCTTTTCTCCTCCTCCTCCTCTCCTCCCTCACCCCCTATCTCCCTCTCTCTCCATCTCCTCCACTCTCTCCCTCTTCCTCTCCTTCTCCCTCTCTCCTCATCTCTCTCCTCACTCCCACGCACCCCCTCTCCTTTTGCTGACATTTTCTCCCACTCTCTTGGTGATACTCTCCTCCCTCTCTCTCCTCTCCTCTCCTGTCTCCCTCATCCCTCTCTCTCCTCTTGCTGTCAGGTGTCTCTCTCTTTCTCTCTTTCTCTGTCTCTGTCCGTGACACAGATCAGATCACGTTTTGCTGACTTAGAGACAGACGGATCTCGCCTCGTCGCTCGCTTCTGTTTGAATAAAACTGGGGCAGAAAGAGTTTTAGAGCTTAAATAAAAGTGTTAAATCAGCGACAGAAAGACAGAGAGGAGTGAAAGAAAGAGAGACAGAGAGAGGGGGAGGAGGGAAGGAGAGAGACAGAGCGGGCGGTGAAGGGAAGGAGAGAGAGACAGACAAAAAGGAGACGGAGAGACAAAGAGAGATGGGGGATAGGAGTGAAGGAGAGAGAGACAGAGTGAGGGAACAGAGAGGGAGAGACAGAGAGAGGGGGAGGAGTGAAAGAAAGACAGAGAGAGGGTGGTGGAGGGAAGGAGAGAGACAGAAAGGGAGAGGGGTGAAAGAGAGGGAGACAAAGAGGGGAGGATTGAAGATGAGAGAGAGGGAGAGTGAAAGAGAGAGAAAGGGAAAGGAGTGAAGGAGAGAAAGAGACAGAGAGCGTGAGAGGAGTCAAGGAGAGAGCCATAAAGAGGAAGAGGAGTGAAGGAGAGACACGGAAAGACAGCAAAAAAGGAGAGGGAGAGACAAAGAGAGACAGGGAGAGGAGTAAAAGAGAGAGAGTAAAGCATGAAGGAGAGACACAGTGAGAGGGAACAGAGAGGAAGAGACAAAGAGAGAGGCAGAGAGAGTGAGAGAGGCAGAGCGAGAGAGAGGGGAGTGAAGGAGAGAGAGATTTATAACAGACCTTTATTGTGTCTGTCAAAAACATTTTGCATGAAATTTAATCCACTCCACACGTCGTGCTATTTACAGAGAAGGAGAGAAACACAGAGAGAGAGAGAGAAGAGATAGAGCAAGAAAAAGAAAGGAAGAGAGACCAAGGGAAGGAGAAAGAGTGAGGGGGAGACAGGAAGGCGAGAGAGAGGAGAAATAGAGGAAGAAGTATCAAGAGAAACAGTTAATGAGGGCTGAAAGAGAGGAAAAAAGAAAGAAAATAGAGAAAGAGAAAAAGAGAGAGGGAGGAGAGAGAGGAAGGAGGAAAAGAGAGAGAGAGAGAAGAGAAGAGAAGAGAAGAGAAGAGGGGAGAGAAGAAAGGGGGAGAAGGAGAGAGGGAGCAAAGAAAGAGAGAAAACAGGGGAGATGAGAAAAAGAGAAGGAGAGCGACAGAAACTCATGTTTAATTGTGAGTCGATGCTTCTCATGTCACTTTCTCCTTTGGGTCAGTCCTGGTTTAGGATCAATAAGAAATCTGACATGTGATGGAAAGTTATTGAAACTGTCGATGATTTAAGGGAAGGGTTTGAGACCATAGACTGTATTTATCTCATACGCCCACAGATGTCCAAATATGGGCTCCACATTACACGCTACAGCCACTAGCCTTGAGTAACTTCACTTGTATATTCACCTTATTCCAAAAGGTTGTATGTTTTTATAATCATGCAAGTTTATCTGACTACCTTTAATATATGTACTCTTTTTAATTGAATTCTTCATGCAGTGTCTTTGAGTGTTTAGAAAAGCGCTCTATAAATGAAAATGTATTATTATTATTATGTTGAATGGGGCTGCTGCTCTTGATTAAAAAGCTGTTTTAAAGCCCCCCAGAGAATCAGTGCACTGCTGACTTTACACGAACCTATTTTAAGTCATATTTAAGTGGTAAAACTTTTCTCAGATTCCCCATTGAAATTAATAGGATGCACTGCGTAACATTTGTAGTGGAGAGTTTGTCACCTGCTTCTCTACATGGAAGTATTATTGCTTTGTCTAGAACGTTTCACAGTATAGATTAAACCTACTGTATCTATCACGAGAGAGACGAGCAAGTTACAGCACAACGCTACATTACAAGTCAGATCTGTGGAGAGTCGTCCCTATTCACAGAAGGTATTATTGTGTTTCTGAGCAACAGAAATACCTGTAAGGAATAAATGCTAGATGGATGTGTTTAATGTCATACCATGGAACTTTCTAGGTAAAGCAATAACATCTCCATGGAGACAAGCAGGTAGAGGACCCTCCACCACAAACGTTGTGCAGTGCACCTTTAAAATATTACCCAAAATTGACTCTTGTGAGCTTTAAAGCAATGTTATAATGTTGTTACCTCCTCAAAAACAGACCTAGATGTTTGAGTAAGGCTTTATTATTACTCTGTACATCTCCAAAACTCAAAATGCTCCATTCCACCTTGTGATGTCATGTAGTGGTAGTTTTCAAATTAATGTTTTGTTCAGTAGAGCTTTGCAGTTCCAGATCTGAAATCATCCAGATGATTCTAGTGAAGGCGTATGGAGATTAAAACACAGTGTAGTACTTCCTGTATTACCACATGACATCACAAGGTGGAACAAAGTGTTTTGTGTTTGAAAGAAGAACTCAATCTCAGAGTTGATGAAACAAAACACAACTCCAGGCTTGTTTGTGATGAGGAAACAACATTATAACAGATCAGAAAATAGAATAATATGGGCCCAAAGCGCATTTAGAGGCAAAAGTGGGCGGGGCGAAATTAATTGAGTACAGTCTATGGTTGTGTGTGTGTGTGTTTTGGGTGAATGTTTGGGGCCCCTCAGCACTGACCTTTCTCCCGGAGTCCTTGTGTCCACACTCGCCCTTGTCATACCACCACTTGTTTTTCAGTTTGTCTAAGACGGCCTGCTCGTTCAGCTTTAACACGGCCAGGTTTACCGGGATTCTGCACCATGGTGAGCAGTGGGGAGGGGGCGGGGCAAAGGGAATAACATAAATAACATTATGCAGAGAGATGTTATGTTATGTTATTGGAGCGGCAGAAAAGCTGACAGAGCAGTAAGAGCTGAGCTAACACAAAACCAACAAAAGTGATATGATTTAATACTCCATCTGTGCATCTGACTCCCTACGGCCAAGATGTGTATTACTATATCACTGTGGGCAACCGGCATCGCCATGGCAATGGGCACATGTGGGTCAGACAGAGGCAAGTCCAAGTGTCCTCTGCATTTGACCCATCCTTCAGTGTCTCTGAGTTAAACCTGACAGGAGCAGCAGGACCCATCTCCTGATCTACAGCAAGTTTGGAGTACTTTAGCTGCAGAAAACGGGGGTCAATCGGTTGCTTGACCAGCCAGTCCCTTCTACATTCTGTCCGAATCCAGAGGGGACTGGAATCAAACAAAAGAGGATGAAAAATTTGAGACGACCCAACCACAACTGCTAATTTTTAACACGTGTCTCTCACCTACTCTCCAAAATTATATTATTCAAAATGTATAAGTAATAGTTTGCTTTTATTATTTGTTGTGTAAAAATCTGCGCTGTTTCTCAGTCCTTCACATTGTGTTTTTTCCCCCTTTTTATTTTTCAAATCAAATGGAGCAATCATCCTTCTGATTGGTTAATCCACCTGTCAATCACGCCTTCTGAAATTAGGGAGACGAAAAACAGCCCCAGATCCACTCGCCTTCTCAAAGTTCTGTAAAAGGTTAGTCTTACCAAAAAAATTAGGTGCTGTATCTAATATATTGTAATAACTAACATGCTAACATGTACTTCCTGATTCTCTGACAATAAAACACTCTTTAATTAGATGTAGACAGTACAAAGCAGGCTTACTTTGACCTCAAGAACTGCTTATACAATATATATGTACTGTGGCAAAACATTTTGCTCAAATACATGGGAAGAAAAATAGGTACAGAGCGTTTAACCATTTTCAAATCCAGAGACATGAAATGGGAGCCGTGTTTCTGACAGTTTGCTCCTGGGCCTCAGATAGTAATAATTCTCACAGCTCTGACATTTGTCAATCAAGATAAAAATCCTTCTGAAGAATAAATTCAAGTCGATTTCATACTCCACACTGCACCTGAGCAGAGTCCAAACCAGAGACACTTTCCTCAGGCACTTTTCTAACACTTTCACTTTAACACGAATTTTCACTTTTGCCGTCTGTTGAGGCGTTCTTCCATTTGTGCTGCATTTTACATGTTCTGTTGCTGTGTTCTGTCAGGGGGCCCGCCACCTATTCCGACATCCCTTGATTACAATATGTCTCTGTTTCGACATGACGATTTTCCGACACTTTTTATTATCACTATTCCAACATATGGTGTTGTCCGCAGACGAAATTAATGAAGCACAAACGGCCCATGCAGCCTTCGATTTAGATTAGATATTTTCCCGAAGTTTGGCCTATGCTCTTTTTTAAAATGCATGACTGTCTGATAGACATTTTCCCACTGTTTAATATCCTATGTGGCCGAGGTATTCTCAGGTCAAGATCTTTGCACCGGCCCAAGCAACTTATGATCTACGGGAGCACAAAGTATAATAGGCTATCATATTAATATTATTCATGTCCGAAAAGCAGAATGTAAATAGTAAAGTGCTGCTACTCCAACAATGAAAAAAAAGAGTCTAAGTAGTGGGACACTTGAAAAATAATGTTAACGCAGCTACTCCGACAATTCAATGTCAATGTCTAAATAGTGACATGTCGGAAAAGCAGCATGTAACCATTCTCTCCATGTTTTGTCATATTATACAACTGCACACCGGAAGCACAGCATTCTCCACCACCAGATAATTTAACATTATATACTGTACATTATATATTTATGTTGCTGTCCAACTCTACAAACTATAATAAATAGTGAGTTTAAAAATGAAGTTAAGGATCACCATGACAACCACTGGGGATGGCAAAATAATACATAGAGCTAATGTTAGAAACGTCACACTGCATTCTTCTGCATAATTTAAAGGGTCCATCTCATGCAAAATCAACTTTTCAGAGCTTTTTACCTTCTATGAGAGATGTGTGGGCCTTGTATATGTTGCAAAAGTGTTTTTTAGATTGATTCAGCATTGTTTTTTACAAATTGCAGTGTATTTATGCCACCCTCCCACGTGACAATGACCTAAAGCTGCTACAACGATGACGCGGCAGCTACACCTATGACGCACTTGACGTAGCAGAAAGCGCTTCACTATTTGGCCCTGCCACCAATAACTTATGGTGTGTCTCCGGTCTGCAGTTTCATCCTACTGTTGGTTGTGTTGTGTTTGTTAAAATACATCTCATATTACCATCTAACTTGAGTACCAGAGCTTCAGACAGAGCAGTTCCTACAGTCAGCATCACACCCCCAGGGAATATTGATGACACCAGCTGTAAAATATCAAAAGCCGTGCTGTGCCGCGTGGTGCCGGTTGCCCGTGGTGAGAGCCGTGTTTACCGCAGTGGTCAGTCGCGGTGCTGACCTTGGCGTCCCCTCCCCCGACGCCGCACTCGCCTTTGTCATACCACCATCTGTTTTTAAGTTTGTCCAACAGCCCCTGCTCGTTCAGTTTTAACACTGCCAAGTTAACTGGGTTTCTATGGAGACGATATACAATAAGCAGCTAATTAATCAGAAAAGTCATCATAACCAAGAACACATTTGAATCGGTCTAATGTTTCTGTTTCTCAACCCGGTCTCTTTAAATGCCCACCATCATTTAAAGGGCCCATATTACACTATTTTCTGAATTTACTAATGCTGTTTCCTTTTTAAAAACATACCTGAAGCTGTTTCATTCGGACATGTTTAACATAGAAACTGGACATTTTGAGTTCTTCTCTCAGATAAAAAACACTCTGTTCCACCTTGTGCCATGTGGCAGTACATCAAGTGCTTCACTGTGTTTTTAAACTGCAAACACCTTCACTAGAATCATTTTGATGATTTCAGCCCTGGCATTGCCAATCTCTACCAGAGTCCTGCACCAGGTACTCAACGAGTACCTGCAAATAGTTGCTGAAATGGGCCGGTTTTAACATTATGTGGCGGGTATGTGGGCGGAGAGTGATTATACACGGGCGGGTCAGGTGAATCAAATGAACGATGAACAGGAGAAAACATCTGTTGCCCTGGAAACAAGTGCCATTTCCCGGACTTTTCCTGGAATGATGGACCAGGTTGAGAGAGTGACTTTATTTGTGTATTTATTACATAAAACCATCAGCGGAGGTGATCAGCTCAGCGGCTCATCGCCTCTTGGTTTAGTCCTGGTTAAGTCCTGTTTCAGTCCTGGTTTAGTCCTGGTCCAGTTCTGGTGTGGTCCTGGTGATCAGCTCTGCGGTTGTGGCATCTATATATTTATAATCCGCTAATGACACGCCGTAGGTTCCGTCCTGGCTTAGTCCTGTACTATTGGGCTGCTGGACTAATGGTCGAACCCTGATTTATCACGGGCACGGGCGGGTAACGGGTGGAATGTTAATGTTTCCAGGTGGGTGTGAATTTAACTTTGATATAATCGCGAGTTAACGGTGTGGGTCTCCAAAAATGGACCCGAGCAGGATTCTGATATTTACTGAATTAAAGATAAAAGGAGCTGTTAATGTGAAAGCTGCAGCTACATGACATCACAAGGTGGAACAGAACATTTTGAGTTTTGGAGACGTAGACAAACTAATAATAAAATCTTACTTAAACATGTGTTAATGAAACAAAACAGAAGTCTGGGTATGTTTCTGAGGAAATACCAACATTCAAACATGGCTTTAAGCTTGCAAGAGTCAGCTTTACGTTATATGGGACCTTTAAACTGCAGACTCATTTCTGTGTGATAAAAACATCCTCATATTTATACAGGGCTGCAGAGGAGGCACTAATTGGCCCCATGTCAAAGGAGGAAACAAAAGTCGGCTAGCTTTAGTTCCCTGCCAGACAATATGATATTAACAATTAAATCTGTATCTGTATTTACTGCCTTAACGGAGACATCTTGTGCTTTTTCGAGTATTAAACTATAACAGACATGCATTATATAATTTCACATTTTGTTCACTGTAAACCACAATATAGATCTAAAGAGCTGATTGTAGCAATTGTATTTATCCAGTTCATGGACAATATTGATCTGACTTAATGAAAGAAACAAGTCCACTAGCTTACTCCTGTGTTAGAAAACTGCAGTGCTTAATGGGAGTTGAAGTTACCACAAATGTCATCACAACAAAGCGCTCTGGCTCCTCTTATGGATAGCTGCACATCACACTAGCAAGTAGTAGATTTTTTTTCTTTTCATTCGTACCAAAATGACTATGCAACACTGCAGAATCCTATGTGTATCACCGATTTAAAAAATAAAATTGGAGAAGCAACTGCATACGTCACAGTGGGCATGTACAGCGTGCAGTGGTGGAAGGTACCGGAAGTACAAATTTAAAAGTACAATATTGCAAGTACAAGTAGAATTTTTAGGTTTCTGTACTTTATTTAAGTAAATTTTACACTGGATACTTTTTATTTTTACTCCAATACATTTCAGATTTGGACTGAAAAGCAAAAAGAACTTTTCTTTATGGTTTGAGACCTGCTGAAAAAGCTGAAATAGCTGAGACTAATTTTAAGCGCTTTTAATATGAGATAACATCCAAAATTTTAGCAAACCAAACACACAAATACAACCAGAAAAATAAAGAAATCAACTGAATCACTTAAAATCAGCTAAATTCTTTATCAAAATCACTACTTTTCATGCTTTAATTGTTCTAAAAATCAGTGCAAAATACTTTAACTTTTTATGTTTTTCATGTGATACTTTTACTTTTACTTGAGTAATCTTTTGCTTCTGTATCTGTACTTTTACTTAAGTAACAAAATTTAGTGTTTCATCCACTACTGTCAAAGTCAATGAGAAGGAAACAATTATAACATGGTTGCTTCTGAACAATGAAACTCCTTTAAGCTATTTTAATTTAATATTACAGTTTACAATGAACAAAAGGGGAAACTTGTGTTCTATTTTAAGTCTGGAAAAGCATATTATGTCTCCTTTAATTATGTCAAACCAAAGTTAGGCTGAAGTCCACGCTGGGGTCTTAGATGGTGGACAGGATTTAGGAGCAGGTTGAGAAACAAAATGTTTTCCACTTAAACGTTTACAGTTTACAGACAGTTGGTCACTGGAGCAAACAGGAGGTGTCAGTTTAAATCATGTTTTTTGTGATACATTTATTTATCTAGAGTGTCCTCCTCTGTGCTGCAGCGACCCCCAAACTGTGACTGAATGGACCAAATGTAAAAAACATGAATCATGACACAAATGTTCAGAAAGCGTGATGGAAAAAAGAGTTTTGTTTTAATTTTTGTCTATATTGAAATATTAAAGAGGGGGTATTTCTGTAGGGTATTAACTGCTTGCACATTACATACCATGTTACCTTAATTTCCCCTTTATGTTTGCTCTCCACGCTAAGTCCCTCCCCATTCAGAATGACTTCACAACACAATCAGCGTGAATCCTGATAATGCAACTACCGCATATCACATCAGGTTTGTAAAGTTGTACTGTATTCTTTTGTATCATGTTTTTATGTTGCATATTTATGAAAAAATTGTTGTGTGCGAGCTTAGGTGATATAAAGGTTTGTGGTCAGAGTCTTTTACACTTTCATACATTCAAGCGTTTTGAATACGCTAGATTACTCAAACTTAAAACCTCTTCAGGCATGTTTTTGATGAGGGAACAACATTATAACATGGTACAAAGCTCCAAAAAGTCATCATACACCCTCTTTAAGTAGGTATGGTTTGAGAGTTTTAATATCACCCAAAATATTGTTGACATAAATTAAGTCAAGTTGAATATTTTATCTTGAATTAAATGAATAAATGATCTTAAAACTCAAATAATTTGCTTCGGACCAACATGATTAAAATACAAGGTGACAAAACATATTTCTTTGTGGCTTATGTTTTCTTTTTGAGTGATTTTAGAATCTTTCGGTCTTATTAAAATGGAGTTTGTTTATCAGAGAAAACAAAACTCTTCCCATCGCTCAGAGAAAGCAGCGTTCAAACAGCGGCCGCACAGCTGGAGCTAAACTATCATTACTATAATTCACAAAAATAATTCACAAAAACAATGAGCAAAACACTTTAAAAACATGACAGATGCCGACACAGAGGAGACACTGCTGCATTAAATGTGGATGAGTCAGACCCATTTGTATAAAGAAGTTTTCTCTCAATTCAACTGAAACTAAACCAAAAACTGCAATTCACTGTGACTGTCTGTTGTTGGGAGGGGCAGATGTTGTAGTTTAGCAGCCTCACTTCTGTCAGTCTGTCCCAGGGCAGCTGTGGCTACAATAGTATGTCACGAGCGAATGAATAATGCAGTAATTTAAAGTGAATTTTAGTGCCTGAAAAACAACAAATGCATAAATCTATATAATATGATTCTCTACAGACCCTTGCAGTGTTTGTAAATCCTGATGCCCTTCCATATGCTAGTGCCAATTTTTTAATAGAAGAGTTAAACTATGAAGAACCAGGGCTGAGGCCAAATGAGAGCAAAAGCAGACTCTTCATTAAAAAAAAAAAATCACAGCATGTAGCACTGGTATGTGCAGCCTATATTATGGGCATTTGCAGGCAGCAGTGAAATTAACATACTAACATGATAACAGCCACGTATCTAGATGCATTATAGTAGCCTATTACTGCCTAAAGGTGCATTGTGTAAGTTTTCCTGAGTCCGTCAAATGCTTTTCTTCATGGAGATGTGATTGCTTTGTCTGGAAGGTTGCACAGTATGGTATTGAACCTTTCTATCATCATGGAGACCAAACCAGACCAAGATACAGGTCAGATCAGCGGAGAGTAGGGCTGGGTATCATTAAGAAGTTGCCGATATGATACATACCTCAATACATAGGCCATGATACCATACGCATCTCGATACAGCGCACTTTCTGTTTGATTTGATATATTTCAAATCGATTCGATACTAAAAGTCTTTGTTAAACCACTTCTTGCGCAATTCGAATATGAAACACACACGTTCTACTCATCAAAACAGTGAAAATGCCAAATGTGTTGCATAAACAAGTTTCCTTTCTCTGTACTGTAGAGCTGTAACAAAATAATTTTGTAGACTATACCAAAAAATACTCTTGGCGATATATCGCCACAGCAGCCCATGATATCGATACTGTATCATCACATTAAACGATACGATATATCAATATTTCAATATTTTTGGACACCCCTAGTGGAGAGGCAACTCTACTCAGTCAGAATGCCTGTTTTTCTAAGTATTTTTTCAGCTATAAAACCACCTACAATTTAATAAATGTAAGGTAGAGCTGTTTAATGCCATACTGTGAAACATTCGAGGCAGAGCAACTACATATCCATAGAAACAACCAAACGGTTACATAGTGCACCTTTAAACTATTATTTTATGGATTGTTCTACTGGTGGTTTGTCTTTTGTTTACTCACTTCACTTTTGGTTTTGGTGAATTTGACGTACTTCTAATAGAGCAGGATTCAGGCTTTTTCAGTCTATTTATCTTGTATTTTATTTTCTGGTCTGACAAAAGCACAAGTGTTGTCTCTGTGTCACTTCAATAAACACGAAATCAGTGAGAAAAGAACCGATGTTTCCAAATGAAGCTGTCAGGGAGAACTGTGCCAGATGCCCTCCCATCCTGCTGTATCCCTGTGTGCCAGATGCCCTCCCTGACAGCGACATTGATGTGATGAGGCGGGTGCGATAGTGAAACGTTGCAGATGTTTGAACAATCAGAATTATCAGACCAAAGCACGAAGCCAGACACACAAAAGAGACAGAGAAAAACATCTGACAGACAGAGAGAAAGGTGGAGAGGAGGGGGGTGTGGTAGGGAGATGGAGAGAGCAGAAAAGGGAGAAGAAGGAGGAGAAAGATGAGAGGAGGAGAAGAGACAGGCAGGGACAAAAAGATAGTGAAGAGGGAGAGAGAGAGGGAAAGAAAGGGGAGGCAGAAAGAAAGAACGGAACAAGAGACAAAGAGAGAGAAGACAGGGAAAGTGACAAACATAGACAGAAAGAGAGGAGAAGGAGAGAGAGAAGGAGGGAGAGAAACAGGAAGACAGGGACAGACAGGGACATGGGGAGAGAGACAGGACACACAGATTAACAGACACTGACGCGACACAACAGAAAAATACATCCAACATTTCTTTGAGCTTGTGACTTAAAGCTGAATTCTGTAACATTTCGCTGAGCGTGTGAGTAAAGCTCTCTTCTGTAACATTTTGCTGAGCATGTGAGTAAAGCTCTTGAGCTCCTGACTAAAGCTCTCTTCTATGACATTTCTCTGGACATTTATCTGGACTTAAAGCTGACTTCTGTAACATTTCACTGAGCCCCTGACTAAAGCTCTATTCTGTAACATTTCACCAGTCTTTCTTGGTCAGGTTAGACATGCTAAAAATGTACAATCTTTCTGCTAAATATGGAATAGTATGTTCAAATTATTAATTGTAATAAATTACTGAAGAATCATGTTTGTTTAAAGGGTATTATTGTTATTAATTTTTGTTTTCATATTTTACATACACACAGAATGTAAAATCCCTGTGTAAACACCTTGGTGTATAAACAGTTAATGGGGCGTTTAGTTCTACTTTAATTTGTTCTTGAGGTACTGTACCAAAAAAATAAAATTACCTCTCTCAACCTGTACCTAAAATAATTACTCTAATGACTGAGTAAAACTAATGAACAGTTAATCGTGTAACTACAAATGATGAATTGTAGTTACGTAATTAACATAATTAATACTTTATTCACACAGGTCACATAGAAACAGCACAAACAGATACAACACAGATAAACACATGTTCACTGTAAAAACACAGAGGACAAAATTAGACTGAAGGACTTGAGTTAATGACATTTATCAAGAAATAATAAACTTCAATAATGTTTATTCATAAATAAAACTACTAAAAACATGTTACAGTGGAAATAATACTCTAGTTTCTACTTTTTTTTCACCACTTAACTGTGTATATGATGTTTTAATAACATATACTGTTCCTAGTGGGTTTAATGGGGTCATTTTAGTGCAAACAAGGTTAATTTTCAGCCTATCTTCAGAAACTGAATGTGTTCTGCTTCCAGTGGCCTTTACAATTTAAAGTACTATGTGACATCACACAGGACAGCCCTGATTACAGCCGGATGTTTCTGATTACAAACACCTGGCTGCAGGGGTGGAGTTTGAAGTGTGGATAAATGTTAGACCGATCACAGTGCCTCATACCTGCAGATCCTGGCCATTCTACCCCAGCACTCCCCCTTTAGTCCTCAAGACCCCGACCCTCGTCCCCCTCACTCTTCCTTTAATCCTCTGGGAAATGCTCAATTTAGCAGCTCTTCAAAATGTGGTTGTGGGTGGAGTTTAGGTGTTTCGTCCCTTTGCCTCCTGCGTCCTCCATGTTTTTGCAGTGTATGCCACCCTTATATGGTATATATATACATGTAGTACATGTGTGTTACCTGAGGGGGGAGCCCTTGGGTGTGGCGACCCCATAGCCTTTAGAGTCCAGATTCCCACCCACTTTCATAGTGTCACAGGGCTTCCTCTGCTCGATGTACTCATTCATAGCAGACTCCAGGAGGTAGGCGTACTTCCCTTTGGACTTCCGGACTCGGATCACACCTTCGTTCGTGTTTTTCACAAACACAGACGGCTCGGCGCTCCGCATGTACGACCACATCTTCTCAAAGACTGCAATCTTTGACCTCTGCACCAGAGGGAGACAAAGGGTCAGGGGCACTAAAGACACTACAGAAAATGTAATAAGCCTGTGTGTAGGGATGCAACAATCCTACTCTAGTGTCAGATATCAGCTTCCAAATATCAGTTTAGACAATATCCTGGTTGGACATGTAACTGATATTCATTTACAAACAGTTTCTCTGTAGTTATTGAGAGATGCATTTTTCAGTTTTTTTTTTTTTTTTTTATGTATTTATTTTGGGCAAGTAAGTGATTTACATTCTTATATAATAGAACATGTAACATTGTCCCTTTACAGTCAGTGAAGCTCACACCAAACTTCTCTTAACCCTTAAGGTATTGATATGTATGGTATTATAAGCAGTACTGAACCAGGACTAAACCAGGACTAAAAGATAATCAAACCAGCACTGAACCGACCCTGAAGAACTCTTTGGTAGAGCCTCCATCCAGCGTTCCGTAGGCAATCTCAGTCTGTTTAGCGAGATCTTCTGCGCTTTCTATGGGCGACACCATACGCTCCACGGTGAGGAAGGCCGCCAGGTTGGCCGTGTACGAGGAGATGATGATGAGCGTGAAGAACCACCAGACTCCGCCCACGATACGCCCAGACAGCGACCTGCAGCCAAGAAACGGTGTCAACTCATAGAAAGCACTTACCTTGTCTTAACCCATTCCACAGACCCAAATGAATCCACTTTGTCAATACTGTCGGGAAGCCATTACAAACAGGGACATTCAGATCTGGTTTAGACCTCGTTCAGTCCTATCATTTTGCTAGTTGTCACCATTGAAATTGCTGTTTTGTTTCTACACATTCGGACCTGTGAACATAATGTTTTATATGAGCTGCTAAAATATCCTTGCTCACCATGTTTTTACAGTGAAAGTGGCGTTGGAGCGTTTGTGTTGTGAGGCGAGCTGAAGGGAGATGCCCTGAAGCTACAGCGCTACATACCTCGCTCTGACGCCAACATTTAAATACATCACATCATCACTACACAACCAAGACTAAACCAGGACTAAACCAGGACTGAACTAGGACTAAACCAGGACTGAACTAGGACTAAACCAGGACTGAACAAGGACAAAACCAGGACTCAGCTAGAGCTAAACCAGGACTGAATCAGAACTAAACCAGGGTTAAATCAGGACTAAACCTGAACTAAATATTTAAAAACATCACATCAGCGCTACTGTCACACAGCCACAGCAAGCAGCCATGTTGGACAGGTCACCTTGTACCGAGACGTATACAACCAGGATTAACGCAGGATTAAACAATGACTGATTGAACAGGACTCATCCAGGATCCAAATAGGGCTGAACCAGGCTTAAACCAGCACTATACTTGGACTAAACCAGGTCTAAACTAACAGGGACAGTAGTGATGATGTGATGTATTTAAATGTTGGCGTCAGAGCGAGGTATGTAGCGCTGTAGCTTCAGGGCGTCTCTCTTCAGCTCGCTTCACGACACAAACGCTCCAACTCCACTTTCACTGTAAGAACACGGAGAGAGGAGACTGACCACACGTGAGGACAGGAGCATTACAGAGTGGACAGTGGTGCAGGGACATTTTAGCAGCTCAGCTACAACTTACCACCACCGAGTGTGAAGTGAATGAAAAATGCACTGTGAAGTATTTTGGGTGTCCTGAATGGCGCTGTGTAAATCTAATGTTTTATCAGTATTATTAAACCAGGATTAAACCAGGACTAAACCAGGACTAAACCATGACGTCATTACAAGATCTACTTTCCCTACAGTCACAGCAAGCAGCCATGTGGCAGGTCACCTTGTAAAGAGACGTTTACCACCAGGACTAGACCAAGAGTAAACCAGGACTAAACCAGAGCTAGCAGGACTAAAGAAGGACTGAACAGGACTAAAACAGGACTAAACCAAGAGTAAACCAGGACTAAACCAGGACTATAGTGGGATTATCAGACTATGTCACTTCACGCTCTACTGTGCATGTCTCCTGCAGAAAGAGCAGCTGTCATGTCCAGATTTCCGGCTCTTCTGGGTGTCGGGGCTAGTTCTATCAATCAGGTATGAGTGGATGTCCAGCTTTGAGCCATTTCTTCTCGTCATTTATGCTTCCACCTGCATTTAACACAAAGATGTATCCCACTCACTAATGTTAATTTAGCCTTATAACTTATTTTAACACACAGTGATAAACAGTTTTAGTGTGTTGACAATGTTGTCAGAGCATTAACTAAAGTTGTAACTTCATGTTAATAGCACAGACAGTGGCTCTTTCTGCACTCAGGTTGTGAGCACGTTTGCTGTGTTGATAAACAAATAATCCATCTATACCCTTAGCTGTGGCATTCTATTTTTATCAACAGTATAGCCAAACTCTGTTGCTTAGAAACTTTCTCGGGTGAAGTTTGTCTTATTTACTGCAAATATAAAACAAAGACAACATAGCTATGAATGCTATTAATTAACAGCTCTGCCTTATATGAAACAGGTCTAAACCAGGTCTAAACCAGGTCTAACCCAGGTCTTGCTGCAGGGAGGACATTGTGTAAAGTGGATATGGTTCTTTTTTTAAACAAATGTTTAAAATTCCATGTTTTAGCCATTGGTTGTTTGGGAATAATGGCATCATTCCGACTTGGCGCTCTGAGTTTGTCTCCAGGGAATAATTAAACACTTAATGAGTTCAGATAACACCAGCGCTTTGTTTAAGCCTCAGTAATTTCATCCGAGGAGAAGAGTCTCACTAATGGAGCCGTAACAAATTCTGGAAATTGTTTAGTTTTAGTTTTTTTTTTTTTTTTTTTTTTTTGTTTGTTTTGTTTTTTGTTTTTAAAGTAATTTCTGCTTGAAAATAGTGTGCATTTTAGCATAAAAATGTCTCTCTGCAGTACAATGCAATATGTGGTCAAGTATTCATTTGCATAAATGTTTTTAAGTTTAAAGGTCATATATTACACAAAACCGACAATCGTGACCTTTAAGACATTTTGTATTTTTACCTCCTTAAAAACACACCTGAAGTTGTGTTTTGTTTTGTTCACACATTTCAGTAATCCTAGTCTGTCTACATCTCCAAAGGTCAAAATGCTGTCACATGCTGTGATGTCATGAGGAGTCTTCAAGTTAACTGCTCCTTTTACCTTTAGTTCAGTAGAGACTGGCACTCCAGGGCTGAAATCATCCAAATGATTCTAGTGAAGGTGTATGGAGTTTAAAAAACACAGTGAACTTCCTGTATTTCCACGTGACATCACAAGGTGGAACAGAGTTTGAGAGAAGAATTCCTGATAAATATGCAGGTTTGTGTGTTAAACATGCAAGTGTGTGTGTTCTCACCTGGGAGAGATGTCACAGCCCTGTTGCATAAACGCTCCCAGAGAAAACCACAGAGAGTTAAAGATCCCAAAGTCGTTGGTGTACTCTGGCTCCTCCTTCTGGCTCTCTGCTACAAAAGAGCACAAGAGTCAGAGGCCCGGTGTTTCAGATGCCCTCCCTGTGTGTTAGATACCCTACCTGGACTCTGGTCTGGGTCAGAGGAGTTGTTTTGAGGTTCTTTGGGTGAAGTTCTTCTGGCTCCACAGTCTGGCCCCTCCTCTTCATCCTCAGACTCCTCCCCCTTCCACTCATACGGACTGAAGCGGCTCACCTAAAGTACACAAGTACACACATGCTTTTAGAATGTTTTTTTTTTTTGTTTTTTTGTTTTTTTTTCAAAGGAGACATTCTGTATTTTTATATTCATTTATATATATATATATATATATATATATATATATATATATATATATATATATATATATATATATATATGAGCTAACCAGTGTGGGTCCTTGGGCAAGACCCTTCGTGCTACTGCCCACCTCATACAATGATGAGAGAGAAAGAAACGTATGACATGCCGGCTCAGACGTCGCCCGGCCAAACAAGGTCTGCATCAGGTGCTGGGGAACCAGGGCACCTTGATGAACAATGGGCTACTGGAACACGGCGGAAATGGGCGAGATGCGAGAACAAGGCTCTGTTGGAATGCTACTACTACAGTAACCCTAGGCAGAGGGGTTACATGAACAGGATGTGGGAGAAATGCTTATTACGATACCCACAGTCCAAGCTAACGGCCAAACAACTAGTAGCTCAGTGTTCCAACATCCACAAACGGCAACTGCTATCACAACTAGAGATTGATGAGGTACAACACAAATGCCACGGCAAGGGGGAACCAGTGTGCCAGGTCAGAGGGGAGTTGACACCAACTCCCCAACCAGAGATTGGGTACGAAGCCCCAATAAGTATCACGCTGAGCAAGGCAGCGACTGACCTGAAAGATAAGATCATGGCCCGAATGAACACAAGGCAACCCCGATGCCGGTTACAGAGGCTAAGTGAAGTACCATCTGAAAGTCTCCTAGACGATGTGAATGCAGCACTGACAGTGATCCCTACCACAACAATCACTGAAACCAATGAGCTGATATACACTTCAGCAGCAGTGATCCTAGATGTGTTGGGCTATAAGAGCAACCATGGGAGCTATGCGATACAATACCCACCATGGAAAAGACAGTTAGAGGCTAAAATCAAGGAGGTGCGGAGAGAAGTGAGCCAACTGTCAGAGGCCCAGAAAGGTGCAATGAAAAAGCAAGTGCCCAAGAGGTACAACCAGTTGCCCATACCTGAAGCACTCAAAACTGCCAAACAAAGGCTCCAAGCCTTGGCCAGCCGCCTAAAGAGGTACACACGAGATAACGAGGCCAGACGAATAAACCGGCTGTTCGCAACACAACCGGCGAAAGTGTACGCTCAGTGGCAGGGTAATAACACCAGAGCATACCCACCAAGGCTGGAGACTGAGAGGTACTGGAAAGGCATATGGGAAAGGGAGGCATCACATAACACCGATGCACAGTGGCTGGTGGATCTGAGAGAAGACCACAGCAACCTCCCTGAACAGAATCCAGTCACCATCACAGTGGCAGACATCCAGAGAAGAGTCTCAGGTATGAAAAAAAGGACCGCACCGGGCCCTGACTTGATCCATGCGTACTGGCTAAAGAAGCTCACTGCCCTCCACGAGCGCCTGGCAGCACAAATGAACCAGCTGCTAAGGGATGGAGCTCACCCTGAATGGTTAACCCAAGGGCGTACGATCCTGATCCTAAAGGATCCCTCAAAGGGTGCAGTCCCATCCAACTATCGGCCAATAACCTGTCTCTCCACAACATGGAAGCTCATGTCAGGCATCATTGCGGCTAAGATAAGTGGGCACATGAATCAATACATGAGCGCAGCACAGAAGGGTATCGGCAAAAACACCAGGGGAGCCAAAACACCAACTCCTGGTTGACCGAACAGTCGCCCGTGACTGCAGAACCCGTAAGACCAACCTGTGCACTGCCTGGATTGATTACAAGAAAGCCTATGACTCAATGCCACACACATGGATCACTGAGTGCTTGAAGCTGTACAATATCAACAGGACTCTAAGGGCGTTCATTGCGAACTCGATGCGGTTGTGGAAAACCACCCTTGAAGCCAAGGGGAAGCCACTTGCACATGTGTCCATCAAATGTGGCATATACCAAGGAGACTCACTGTCCCCACTACTGTTCTGCATAGGCCTGAACCCCCTCAGCCAAATAATCGACCGCACTGGCTATGGATACCGACTCAGAAACGGGGCCACCATCAGTCACCTCCTCTACATGGATGACATCAAGCTGTACGCTAAGAGTGAGCGAGACATCGACTCACTGATCCACACCACAAGGATCTACAGTACAGACACTGGGATGTCATTCGGGCTTGAGAAATGTAGCAGGATGGTGACAAAGAGAGGGAAGGTAGTCCACACAGAGGGGGTGTCACTCCCAGAGGAAACAATAGCAGACATTGAGGACAGTTACAAGTACCTTGGTATCCCACAAGCAAATGGCAACCTTGAAGAGGCAACAAGGAAAGCGGCTACGGCCAAATACCTGCAAAGAGTGAGGCAAGTCCTTAGAAGCCAGCTCAATGGCAAGAACAAGGTGCAGGCAATCAACAGCTACGCCCTGCCAGTGATCAGATACCCTGCAGGGATTGTAAGCTGGCCAAAGGAGGAGATACAGACCACAGATGTTAAGACACGAAAGCTCCTGACCATGCATGGAGGGTTCCATCCCAAATCCAGCGCCCTGAGACTGTACGCAGGCCGGAAGGAAGGGGGCCGAGGACTAGTGAGTGTGGGAACCACTGTCCAGGATGAAACATCCAAGCTCCTTGAGTACATCAAGGACAAGGCCCCGGCAGATGAGGTGCTCAGAGAATGTCTCAGACAGTGGGGTCCAGAGGAAGAGGTGCTGGAGGGACCATCATGGCAGGACAAACCCCTACATGGGGCGTACCACCGGAACATAACTGAAGTGGCTGATATCAAGAAATCCTACCAATGGCTTGAGAGGGCTGGTCTGAAGGACAGCACAGAGGCACTGATCCTGGCTGCTCAGGAGCAGGCCCTGGGCACTCGAGCAATAGAGGCCCAGATCTACCACACCAGACAAGACCCACGGTGTAGACTGTGCAAAGAGGCTCCTGAGACAGTCCAGCACATAACTGCAGGGTGTAAGATGCTGGCAGGGAAAGCATACATGGAGCGACATAACCAAGTGGCGGGCATAGTGTACAGAAACATCTGTGCAGAGTACGGGCTGGAAACCCCAGGATCAAGGTGGGAAACACCTCCAAAGGTTGTGGAGAATGACCGAGCCAAGATCCTGTGGGACTTCCAGATACAGACTGACAGAATGGTGATGGCGAACCAACCAGACATAGTGGTGGTGGATAAGAAACAGAGCAGAGCCGTGGTGGTGGACATCGCAATACCAAGCGATGGTAATATCAGGAAAAAGGAACACGAGAAGCTAGAGAAATACCAGGGGCTCAAGGAAGAGCTGGAGAGAGCCTGGAAAGTAAAGGCATCAGTGGTGCCTGTGGTGATCGGAGCACTCGGGGCTGTAACCCCCAAACTGGAAGAGTGGCTTCAACAGATACCGGGAAAAACAATGGACATCTCAGTCCAGAAAAGTGCAGTACTGGGAACAGCAAAGATACTGCGCAGAACTCTCAAGCTCCCAGGCCTCTGGTAGAGGACCCGAGCTGAATGAGGGTGAGAGAGACCTACCACCGTGGAAGGTGAGAAACACATTTATATATATGCATATATATGTATATGTCTATATCAGTCTTTTGATCTGCCACAATAATGTAATAATGAATTTAAATAAAAATACCTCAAATTGAAGGCTTTTCTCAGCAATTTTTAGGTGAGATTAAAATTAGATTAATTAGATTAATTAATTACAGATCATAATTAATTAATCTCTCAATTTTTTTAATCGCATGACAGCACTAATATATATATATATATATATATATATATATATATATATATATATATATATATATATATATATATATATATATATATATATATATATATATATATAATATATGCTGCTATATTTATATTTATTTTATATATATTCTGTTTAGAGCTTTGAACAATGTTTTGTTTCCTTCTGAAGTTGTATTAGACCAGGGCCATTTTCAGGTGCTCTACCATGAAAAAAAAAAAAAAATGCTTTTCCATTTTGTTTAAAATAAATCCACAGGTTTTAAAAGTAAGCAAATATGATTTGGGGGGTTCAGAATGCAGCACCCGCCTCTTAACAATGAAGAAGCACAGGGTATATATTACACCTGTTCTTAGATCTTTGCACTGGCTCTCTGTACATTTTAGAATTCATTAAAACATTTAATGATTGTTTTTAAAAGTCTTTTTTATTTGAACCTGTCCAGCCCCATGTCCCATCCAGAGTTCTGCAGATCAGCTCTGCAGATCAGCACTTCTTAGCTGTTCCTAAGAAAAGGTTGAAGACCAGAGGAGATGGGGCTTTTGCTGTGTTTGGACTGCAGCTGTGGACAGTCACTGCAGCATTTTAAATCTCTGCTAAAAATGTTTTCACATTTTCATTGCCTTTTCTCATTGGCATTTGATATGAGTTAGAGAGACTGGCATCTTGGTTTATATTATACTGTATTCCCAGTGACCACGTTTATATGTACTCGAGTATCCCGGTTATGCTCTGTTTTTTTGAGTAAACACTGTACCCCCTTTCTGAGAAACCAGGATATTCTCACTCTCTCTCATCTTTACTGAAACTGTGACAGTGCTCTATAGTCTAATATTCTTACTTGAATGTGTATCTTTTTTTTTTTTTTTGTTCGAAACCTGTTAAAAAGTCTTAAGTTAGAAAAGTTGCTCCATATTTAGCTCCTTGGCATATCTGTTCCAAAGTTACCATGGCAACCACTCTAAATATGTAGGATACTCTGACGCCTTTCTTTACTTTTTTAATACTTATACTATTGCTGTCTTATTGTTGTTGTTCAGCACTTTGGTAAGCTTTGGTTGTTTTAATTGTGCTTTAAATACATTTGATTTGAATTTGATTTGGACATACATGTAGAATCCTCAACATGATGTCTCTGTATGACTAGAGCAGTGCAGTTGCTGACCAGAAAGAGCACAACGCTGACTCCGATGTAGGCAAACACGATGCACATCCAGATCTCGTAGGCCAGAGGGTCGAGGAAGGAGAACACGCCGGGCTTGGACTTGGTGGGCTTCTTGATCATGATGGAGATCCCCAGGGACATGAAGGGTTTGGTGAAGTCTATGACCTGCTCTCGGACCAGCGTGATGGTGAGAGGAGCCACAGCCACGTCTGCCTGCTACAGAGGGGACAGGCGGGGGGGGGGGGGGGGGTATTAACTGCTAACACTTAACCTATTTAGATCACCAACGCACCTTTTATTGTTTTGAAAATGCTATATTTGCCAAAAAACAACACATGAACATGATTTATAAGATTCAGTTTCATTATTAACGCTTCCCTCTTTTTGCTCCCTGTGCTAAATCATTCCCCCTTCAGAGCCCTATCGCAACAAATTCAGCAAAAATCATGAAACTGCTGTACAGGTATTAGGTTTGTCAAGGTGTTGTGTACAGTTTTGTATGCATGTATTATGTGTAAGGAGGGTTGGGATAGTGCCCAGGAGAGATCACTAGATTGTTCTGTGAGGGGAGTGTCAATCCACAAAATTTTGCAGTTTTTAAAATAAACTAATTTAAACGTGTCACTGTTGCCATAAGTATTGCTAATCTTCAGTATTTATGTCAAAGTTTGACAATTTCACTGAGTTTATTCTCAGAAATAAAAACTAAAAAGATTCTGTTTGACCAGAATCAACAAAGTCATGTTTTACTGCAGTCAGACTTTGAGCAAGTGTTTTTCAGTGAAACTGTTTATTTTCCAAGATTAAATTTGATCAAATGAATCTCAAAATGAGGTTTGTCCAAAGCACGGTTACTATAGCAACTTCAGCGTTCAGGCAGTGACAGGAGCTTTAATGTTTTGCCCAAAGACACAATGGCACCAACAAGAATGAACAAGAGCTCCACCACCAGAATAAACCAAAAGTAAATCAGGATTAAACCAGGATTAAACCAGATTTAAACCAGGACTAAACCAGGGCTAAACCAGGGCTAAACCAAGGCTAAACCAGCTCTGAACTAGGTCTAAACCAGGACTAAATCAGGACTGAACCAGGATTGAACAAGGACTAAATCGGGATTAAACCAGGGCTAAACCAGGATTGAACTTGGACTAAATCAGTACTAAACCAGGACCAAACCAGGACTGAACCAGGTCTGTTTTGTTTTGGGAACGCTTGTTTTGCTCACCCCGTACACCAGCTCTCCCACCATCCCGTTCCACATTTTGGTCTCGGCATCCCTGGCTCCGTACTTCCCGTCTCCCACCAGCTCCAGGCGGTACGAGAATCCCACGTGTTTGGCGATTTCCGATGCCAGCTCAGCACAGTATCCCTCGTAGCGTTCATTCCCAACAAACTGCTCATGGTTCTTCTTCAACATCATGTACGGAGCCTCCTGCAACGAGACCAGTGTGTCAGATGCCCTCCCTGTCTGTCAATTATGGTGAAGGTTAGGTTTTGGTTAAGGTTTGAACAGGGTTAGAATGTATGTTTGAGAGAAGAACTAACAAATCCAGTTTATTCCTATAGCACATTTTACAAACAAAGCAGTTTCCAAAGTGCTGCACAGAGATAAAAAAAAAAAAAAAATGAAGATAACAAAAAGGTAAATTGCTAAAATTTGGTCTTATCAGTCCTAAAACAAAACCAGTAAAGACCAAAATAAAAGCAAAAACCATACAAATCATAAAATTGTTGTAAATAAGTAAAATAAATTAAATAAATAAAAGACACAGAGGATCACACAATGGCTTTTAACACTCATGCGGTGTTAAAAGCCAGAGAATAAAAGTGGGTTTTAAGACGAGACTCCACTGTGGGGCTGTCCGGTCGTGGGGGGCAGAACGTTCCAGAGTTCGGGGCCGGCCACAAAGAAGGCCCTGTCTTCCCTGGTTTTAAGTTTTGTTTAAGGCACCATAAGCTGGAACTGGACCTCGGACCTCAGAGCGTGCATGGGGGTGTGCATTTGGATGAGGTCAGAGACGTACTGTGGGGCCAGTCCATTCAAAGTTTTAAAAACAAATAAAATCTTAAAATCAACTTTAAAATGAACTTGAAGCCAGTGCAACAACGCTAAAATTGGGTTAATGTCCTCATGTTTTTTGGTTCCAGTTAAAAGGCAAGCAGCAGAATTTTGAATGCCGGAAAAAAGTGCATTACAGTCGTTTTAACGAGAGGAGATAAAAAAAAGTGAATGACCTGTTCAAATGATTTAAAAGACAAAAAAGTTTTAATTTTAGATAAAAGCCACAAATGATAAAAGCCAGATTTTACAACCGCATTTACTTGTTTGTCAAATTTAAATTTATTGTCCATAGTGATGCCAAGAACATGCGTGAATGAAACAAAACACAAATCCAAGTATTTGATGAGGAAACATAATAACATAGATCAGAAAACAGCATAATATGGATTCTTTAAAGTTCTATATGGTGGGATTTTTTCGGGCAGAGCTGTCGATGTGATATATTGGCATGATAATCTCCACAGAACACTGGTAAACATGGGCACGTGGACAAATTTCTCACCAGAATCGTGGTCACGACGTAGGTGCGGTTGGGCAATCCGTAGAAGTAGTCATCCACCACAGACCTGTAGGTGGCCGTGTTGACGTATCCCTTTTTAGCGTTCCAGTATCCGATCTGGAACACAACACAATCACATGGGGCTGGGCCAAATGCCAAAAAATCTAAGTCACGTGTCATTATCTTTTTGTAGCTTTTTATTATAGACTCCTGAGCAGTGCCTCACCTTCCTGGGCCCCACATGGCTCAGTTCCATCACGGTCAGACTGTAGTTGGTTCTGTGCCCACGTTCGTCAAACTGGATGTGCCCGGACAGACCCTCCATCTGCACCTGAGGCCACCACAAAACAATAACAAAACACCAACACAGCAGGAGATGGTTAAAGCCACAGTTTTCATTTAGAAACAAGCTCATCTCTGACCAAGCTAATTTTTCCACAGACCTGCTGCAGCGCCCTCTGGATGTCGATGCCCTGTCCCCATGGCGACGGTGGGTTGGCGAGGCACTCCCCAGCATTGCCCCGGCGAGAGATGTCGATCCGCTGTTTACGAAGATACTGGAACGCAGCGGCCATGATACTTACGCCGTCGTACGTCAGAGCGCCAGTGTACTGCGGACAGGAAGGGCATCCAGGTTAGAGAAGGGAGTGCACATAGAGGGAGGGCAAGAAGAAAGAGGACATCCTGGTTAGAGAGGAAGGGCATCTGGGTTAGAGAAGAGAGGGAGGGAATTTGGGTTAAAATGGGAAAAATGGACAAGTGGATGTCATAAGGGAAAGAGATGGAGTATCAAATGGATGGAGTTCCTCTGTCTTCGCTCCTTCCTCTCTCCTCTCTCCATCTCCTTGCCTCCAGTCTTCTCTCCTGCTCTCTCCCACTTTCTCTACTGTATCTCTTTTCATCTTCTCTCCCTTTGTCTCCCTCTCTCCTTTCTTCTCTTTCTCCTCCTCTCTTTTCCCCTCTCTCTCTAACTCCCCCCTTCTGGCCCTCATCTTCAGTATCTCTCTACCGCTGTCTCCCTCATCCTCTCTCTGTCTCTCTCCATCTCACTCTTTCTCTCTGTCTGTCTTTCTCTCTCTCTCTTTCTGTTTGTCTGTTTCTCTCTCTGTCTCTCCCTTTCTCTGTCTTTGTCTGTCTGTCTTCTCCCTCTCTCTCTCTCTCTGTCTGTCTCTCTGAATTTATCTGTCTGTCTGTCTTTCTCTCTCTCTGTATGTCTCGCTCTCTTCCTCTCTCTGTTTCTGTCTGTCTTCCTCTCTCTCTTTCTGTCTCCCTCTCTGTCTCTCTCTCTCTCTTTTTCCTCCTCCTCCTCTCCTCACCTTTAGTCTCGCCCTCCTCCCTCTCGCATCCTTGGAGTCAAACACTTCCCATTCCTGGTTGACCCGCTCCACGTTGGGGTCACTGTGGTTCACCAGTTGGAATCCCGTCACATTTGGAGCCAACTTCTGCAATTCTGTGATGTTTAGGTCCATGAAACCCTAAAAGGAAAACATTTTAATTATCATATCTTAAATAAATTATTCAAATGACTCTAGTGAAGATGTATGGACTTTAAAACACAGAGGAGTATTTTCAGTTTTCAGTTTGAGAGAGGAACTCAGCCTGAATAAGCAGGGTTTATGTCTTAAATATGTGTGAACGAAACAAAACATAACTCCAGGTCTGTTTTTGATGAGGAAACAACATTATAACAGATCAGAAAATAGCGTGATATGAGCCCTGGAAAGGTGAGAGTGTTGGCCTTGCCTGATTTGCCAGGATGTAGTGGTAGTTCTTCAGGTTCCTCTTCTGCAGAGCTATCTGAAGCACAAAGCAAACACAGGCTTAATTTTACTGTTTAAAGGTGCATACAGTATGTAACTTTTTGTTTGGGGATCCATCAAATGCTTGTTTCTATGAATATGTCATTGCTCTGCCTGGAATGTTCCATAGTGTGACTTTAAACAGCTCTACCTTACATTTATCCAATTACAGCTGGTTTTATAGCTCAAAAATACCTAGAAAACAGGCATTTTGACTGTGAGTGGGGTCGCCTCTACACAGACCTGACCTGCAACTTGGTTTGGTTTGGTCTCCATGAAATTTAGTATGGTAATTTTAATGCCATATTGTGGAACATTCCAGACAAAGCAATAACATCTCCATGGAGAAAAGCATTTGCCAGAACCTCCACCAGAAAAATTACACAATGTAGGACAAAGGATTTTCTGCAAAAGAATTGTCTAAACTGCAAAAGAATGAATGTTACTTCAATAAAAATATTACTCCAGCAGGAGTAAAACTATAGAGTCTGAAAAATTAAACTTAAACTTAACTTTTAAAAAGTTACCAATCTTCTGGTCTCCTTTAATTGCAGCTCTTTAAATTGTCGGATTTAACTAAGTGGGCAGTTAAATCCTCACTTCCTTCCTTGTCTCCTTGTTTCCTTTCCTCATTCAGATGCATCCTCTTCTTTTCTACCACCAGCTGTTCCCCCTCCTCTCTCCTTCCCTGTCCACATGTTTTCAGAAATCCCTCCATTTATCTTTCCACCGCTCTCTTCCCCAATTTTTTCATGTTTTCAGATCTTTTCGTCTCCTCCACTCCTCCTCTCTCCTCTCTTCTCTCGCATCTTCTTTTCTTTCCCCATCTCCACTCCCCCTCTCTCCTCTCCTCTCCTCTCTTCTCTCGCATCTTCTTTTCTTTCCCCATCTCCTCTGCTCCTCTCTCCTCTTTTCCTCCTCCCCTTTCCCCTTTTCTTTGTTGAGATTGCTCATTAGATCCTCAGATCTGTGACACCTGCATCCATCATTTGCCTATTTTCCCACAGTAAACTTTTTCTCACTTCAAGATTGTCTTAAATAGGGGAAATTCTAACTCATAACATATTTAGATCATCATGTTGCCTTTTATTGTTTTGAAAATTCTATATTCGCTGAAAACATTATAAGTTTCAGTTTTGTTTTTGACACTCTGAGTCTCACCCTTCCTTTGCTCTCTGTGGCAAGTTACTCCCCCTTCAGAGCGTGGTCACAACACAATCAGTGCGCATCCCCCTAATGAAACTACTTTAAATCACATTAGGTTTATGAAATTGTAGTGAAAAGTAGTCAAAAGTTTTAGTACACCCTAATTTCTCCAGTTATTTAATGCAGTTCAGTCGTGCAAGTCCAATGAACAGCTTGAAATGGTACAAAGGTAAGTACTGAACAGCCAGAGGTTTAAAAAAAAAAAAAGGTAAAAGATAACAAAACACAAGTCCAAGCTCTTCCTCAGGAAAAAAAGAACAAGACAAAGAACAAGATGGTGAGCTTGAAAACATGGACTGTCCAGCACAGTCTCCAGACTTAAATCCCATCGAGCTGGTTTGGGATGAGCTGGACAGAAGAGTAAAAGCCAAGCAACCTACAAGTGCCAGACATTTATGGGAACTTCTGCAACAGACTTGGGAAGAACTTTCTGAAGAATATTTGATTTCTATTGTAAAAATAACGAGTCACGAGGGTGTTCAACTGTTATATCTGTCAAAGGTAGACACTTTCATGAATCGAAAGTTTAGAATACGTTTTGGTCAACAGTAAACAGTAAACTGGAAAAACTTGGAAAAAGCGTGGTGTTCTAAAAGGTTTGACCGGTACTGTATATTATATATATTTATTTATGTTGATTGTAAGAGGGTTCGAATAGGGCTCAGGAATGATCGCTAGATTACTCAAACATGCATGGATGACATCTAAAACCTGTTCAGACTATAGACTGTATAAAGAAGTGGATTAAGGGAGTGTGACGTCGGCTCCAGCCAAATGAGAAGCTCATCGATGCAAGCAGTAATAGGGGCGAATTTGGACCAGAGTTCCATATTTGGAGTTCTAACTACGAGTATAAAAGCAACCAAACCAGAACATGAAAGCTAGTGAGTTAGCTGTAAAGTATATACATTTATATATACAGTCTATGCTTCAGACAAGATTTGATGAGATTATATCATGATGGAAAGCTGAAGTTGCCTCACCAGGTTGAGGATGTAGTTCATCTTCTCAAGCTCGCAGTCGATGATGATCTGAAACTCCTTCTTGAAATCCAGATCTGCCAGGAGTTTGATGAAGGCCGTTTCTGTGAGAGTCTCCAAGTTCACCGACGTCACCTGCCAACTGAGCTCTGCTGCTGTGTCCAGGATCCTCTGAAGGACAGCCAGACCTACCGACAGAGAGAAGAGGTGATGAGAGGAAGAGAGGAGGAGAGAATGAAGCATCCTCTGCAGAACCGCTAGACCTACAGACCGAAAGAAAAGGAGAGGTGAGTGGAGGAGAGGAGCAGAGAGACAAAAGGAGGAGAGAGAGAAGAGGAGGGGAGGGAATAGGAGGAGGACTTTTTCAGTATCCATACCTGCACATGAGCACAAATAAAGTTTCTATACCAGTTTTAGCATCCAACAGCACTGAAACAAATCCGTGTATCACTGTATCACTGTATCACTGTATAGGAAACGATTTGTGTCCAGACACATCTTTTCTGTGTCCACAAGCCTTCCCTATCCACACAGCTTTGAGCATATGTGTTTACGTTTTACAGAAACAAAACTTAAAACGGCATGGCTAATTTGCATAAACTAAGCGCTCAAAAAACTGTTCGCTATTGTGCACTGATGCGGTTCAGCTTCTGTCGGATTAAAGGACAGGATTGGAATATGAGTGTTCTTTCTGTGACAGAGGGATGTTCTGCTGATGGTGAGTCTGTTCTGTGCTTCTATCGTGTTGGAGATTTGGAGGTTCATGTTAAACTTTTCAGAGATTATACATCTGCAGGTCATACGCACAGACCGTATATATATGAATGGACATATATTCTAGCCTCTTAGCATTTTGGCGGTGAATTACTTTGCGTCACATAGACCTACATCAGCGTATCAGCGTTTTCACACACAGTACCACATCAAATCCGTACTCAGATGAATTCGTGGGACCTGGCGGCACCAGATCATTCCATCTCTGGAGCTGTTTTCAATCGAATTAGTGTGGACAAACACTGCATCCGCAACGAAAACGACTCAAATACATACTAGTGTGGACGGGGCCTTAGATGCTTTTGACAACCCTATATTCAGCTCGGCAATTTTCAAATCTGTCCTTAAGTTGTTTTAGATGAATATTGTGATTTAAAATGTCCAAATTATAACATATTGATCCTTGGTTGTCACAGATTATATGTGTATAGCAGACACAAGCACAGTATGTCTGCTTTAATCGTTATGATCAGAAAGTCCACATTAGCTTTGAACAGTTGACTCCATCTGCGCACACATGGTACAGGGACAGTGGTTAGAGAGCGCCAGATGAAGCTAATCGTCTGAACCAGGCCAAGCACAGGGGCATGATGGGTAAGGAGAGATACATGATGGGAGGTGGAGCGGAATGGGATAAAAGGATCATAACCCCCCACCCTCCACCTCACCCCCATTTCCTGGAGACTGATCTTAACCTTAACAGACGCACATATATTTAAACTTTTATCGTTTTGAAAATTCTATATTCGCCCAAAACAACATATTAACATGTTTTATAAGTTTATAAGAGTCTCCCCTCCGTGCTAAGTCACTCCCCCTTCAGAGCACAACACAATCAGCGTGCATCCTGCTAATGAAAGTACTGCACATCACATCAGGTTTGTCAAGTTGTTGGGTACAGTTTTGTAGGGATGTAACGATATCCAAATGTCACCGTACAATATTTTCATGATCTACATCTCACGGTACAGTATTTATTGCAATATTTTGTGGAGGCTAACACAATTGTGAATATGCCACTTTTTCCTCTAAAAATGCCTTGGCAAGACTTAATTCAAAGAACTAAGATTTAAAAGTGCTTAGAACTGTTATTTCTACATGTAGTTTGCACTAAAACTGAGCAAAGGATCAAGGGCGATGTAGTTCCCTCTGTTAATTGAATAATCTGCTCTTTCAGTACCATAAAAATGAATTTAAGCAAAGAAACTTGTGATTCCATATATTGTGATGGCTCACAATATCACTGAGAGACTTTTGACAATACGATATCAGGGTATTTTGGTTATTGTTACACGTCTACAGTTTTGTATCAAGTTTTATGGAGAACTGTTGTGTGGGATCATGGGTGACGTAGGCTTGTGAGAGGAGCATTGCACATAATCTTACAGCTAACTATAACTAGGGTTGGAATAGGACCTGGGAGAGATCACTAAATTACTCAAACACGCATGGTTGACATGTAAACCCTATTCAGGCAAATTTTTGATGAGGAAACAACGTTTTAACATGGTAGAAAGCTTAAGAAAATATGTGATTTAAGCCATGGACCTGATTTTTGTCACATAAGAGGCAGATCCCCATGATGTGTACAGAGTTTAGGTCCCACTCTATGAGAAATACTCACCCACATCTGGACTTATATTGGACCAATGAGAACATCCAGGAAAAGATCAAAAAATAGTGGACCCCCCAGCAGAAAGGTTCCACAGTGCAGTTGTTTGTTTTTGTTTTTCATTTGTACACTGCTGAATTCTACATGTATCACTGTTTAGGAACAAAATTTTGGAGAAGGAAGTGCATATGTCACAGTGGTGGTAGTGCAAAAGGGGACTGACTGGAGCAATGATATCTTGAATACAGGAAAATAAAGATGCATGCATAAGGTGACCAGTCCTCCCTATTTACTTGGGAAAGTCCCTGTCCCAGTAAATTTATCAATTTTTTTTTTTTTTTTAATCAAGAAATGTCCCGGGTGTCCCTATTTTTGACCAATTTCATCCTTGCCAACAGTAAAGAGAGGCATAAATTGTCATCTGTTTCATTAAAATACAGAAAAGCTGCTTAAATATTACCAAAACACAAAGAAAATGAGATTATACTGACTCACATGTTTGTCATGAATGGGCCGAGTACAGAACAATTTTCCATAATTACGCACTCGTTTCACAATTTTATTATTACCAACCACCAAAAAAGGGGATGCCTCAGTTTTTTATTTTAAAAATTTGGTCACCATTTGCATGCATGAATCACTCTAAATTATGGCCAATATCGGAAATTAATCAGTACTAAAACTAGAAACTAGATACTCATTTGGGCAGGTATTGATACTAAAAGAGGATAGAAATGAACCTTTCCTGAATAGTTTTAGAATGATCTTGAGCTGTATGAGAACAAGTGTAAAAGCACATAGGCTATGTTCAGACTGCAGGGCTTAATGCTCAATTCAGATTTTTTTTTTTGTGAAAAAGTCGTTCACATGTCCAATTAAAAGGGACTTGTATGTGATCTCCAGTGTGAACTTTAAATGCACCACAAGTGTCCCACATGCACACTGCAGGAGATGACAGCGTCACACACAGCGAGCGTGCTCGGTGTTCAAGGAAGTCGCCTTAACCCTGAGCTTCTCTCCCAAAATACAGTCCAGTTCTTTGTAAAATGAGCAGGTTACACGTCCACGGCCGCTTTGTTTGCTTGAGTTTTTAGCCTCATTGTATTTGTCCCACAGGCTCTTTATTTTTTGGACGTTGAAGCCAGAACCGCCTGTAGCCGCCCAGTTCTGATAAGACCTCTCCAATTTGTCCTGAATACAGCGATCCCCCAAAATATTAATTAACTCACTAACCTCACTTTCCCTCCATTGACTAGACTCTGAGCCTGACGTGTAGGTGGGATGAATGCGACCTGGCCATTCAGACTGAAGTCTCATGTCAAAAAATCGGATATATCCAAGTGGCCAGGGTCACACTTGAAAAAAATAGATCTATATGGTTCAGACTGTCATTAAAAGATCAGATACAGGTCGCATAGGGGCAAAAAAAATCTGTCGCCATAGACTAGTATACACCCATCATGGACCACTATGGAACCTACCTGGACCACTGAGGGATTACACAGATATAACACCATGGTATTATAAAAGTAATTATTATGATTTAAAGTTGAAAATCACATTCCATAGTCTAAAGAAAGAATATTTGTATTATCATTGTGGTATCAGAATCGTATTGAGTATCGAGTCTATCCCTTAGCATAAAAATTGCATTCGAAATTTTAGTATCATGACAGGGGAACAACTATAACATGGTTGAATGTGTTTCCTTTAAATTACTGATCGCTCAGAAAAACTCCTCCTGTTTTTTTGTGTTAAAGTGGGGATGGAAAGAAAGGGAGAGAGATGGACAGAGAGGGGAGTTTGTGGGAGGACATTGAGCTGCTGTGAGTCACACTGCAGAGGACATTAAAGAGCCACTACGGAACCTTTAATTATTGGAGGAGTGGAAAAAAGAAGGGAGAGGAGACAGAGATGTCAAAAGGGTAGAGGGAAAAAGGACAGAGAGGAGATGCTAAAACAATAAAGATGACAAATGTGCAGAGAGGGGAGAGAGGGAGGAGAGAGAAACAGAAGTGGAAGAGAGGGAGAGAGGAAAGAAAAAAGGGGAAAGGAGAGAGATATGTCAAAAGGCTAGAGGGAAAAAGGAGGGAGAGAGAGATGTCAAAACTATAAACATGACGAATGTGCAGAGAGGAAAGAGAGGGAGGAGAAAGAAGAAGAAGGGAGCAAATTTGAGGGTGAGAGAGCTAGAGAGGAGGGGAGGAGGAAGAAAAGAGAGAGAAGAGAGTGAATCCGAGGAGGAGAGAGATAAAGAGGAGGGAAGGAGGAGGAGAGAAGGAGAAAGAGAGAGAGAAAAACCTGCATAAATAAAAGATGAGAGTTGGAGCAGACAATGGAACATGATGAAAAAATAAAGTGTGAAATCTGCTGAACCAGAGACTAAACCAGGACCAAACCAGGACTACATCAGGACTAAACCAGGACAAACCTACGCGAGTCGAACTTCTGATCCATAAATATTGAACCATATCATTATTTGTATGGAATTGGCTCCACAAACTTGCCTTATTAATCTGTTAACATGAAATTAAGTTAATTCTAAATGCAAAACAAGTAAACTGACTAAATTAGTACTAAACCAGGACTAAATTCAGGACTAAACAAGGTCTAAACCAGAACTAAACTATAAACTAGGATGACTAAACTAAGACTAAACCAGGACTAAATTCAGGACTAAACCAGGACTGACCCAGGACTAAACTAAGACTAAACTAGGACTAAACCAGGACTAAACCAGGACTAAATTCAGGATTAAACAAGGTCTAAACCAGGACTAAAATCAGGCCTAAACCAGGACTAGACACGGGCTAAACAAGGACAAAATCCAGAACTAAATCCAGAACTAAACTAGGACCAGCCAGGGCAAGGACTAAACTAGTACTACACCAGGAAAAAAATCAGAATTAAACCAGAACTAAACCTGGAATAAATTCAGACCTAAATCCAGAACTAAATTCAGAATTAAACTCAGGACTAAACCAGGACTAAATTCAGGACTAAACACGGTCTATACCAGAACTGAACCAGGACTAAACTAAGACTAACCCAAGACTAAATTCAGGACTAAATAAGGTTTAAACCAGAACTCACCAGGATTAAACTAAGACTAAACCAACACTAAACTCAGGACTGAATTCAGGAATAAACAAGATCTAAACCAGAACAAAACTAGGACTAAATTCAGGCCTAAACCAGGACTAGACATGGACTAAACAAGGACTAAATCCAGAACTAAATCCAGGACTAAACAAGGTCTAAACCAAAACAGAACCAGAACTAAACTAAGACTAACCAAAAACTAAATTCAGGACTGAATTCAGGACTAAACAAGGTCTAAACCAGAACTGAACCAGGACTAATCTAAGATTAACCCAAGACTAAAGTCTGGGCTAAACCAGGTCTAAACCAGAACTGAACCAGGACTGTTCGTTCATGTGGATAGGCGGAGTAATAACACAGATCCTAACCATAAACCACATTATCAACGGTTTAGTCTCGTTCTAACTCCTCAGCGCGAAGCATCGGGCAGTAACATGTGCTTACTCGAGCCGTCACCATGGAAACAGGACGGAGAGGTGATTATGGGATAGAGAGAGACATGAGGCGTCTGCGAGAGGGCGAGCAGCGGGCGTACGAGAAACGAGTGGTGTGGAAATACAGTTTAGAAAGAGAGAGAGGAGAGTGACAGAGAGAGAGAAAAGAGGGACAGGGGGAGAGAGGGAGAGAGGAGAGAGAAAAGGGGGAGGACGGAGAGAGGGAGGAGTGGGAGGGAGGGAGAGAGAAAGAGATGGAGGGAAAAAGATAACGAGGGAGGAGAGATAGAGACAAAGAAGGGCAAACAAGTGTGGTGAGTTAGTGGTGTGGAAATACAGTTTAGAAAGAAAAGGAGAGGAAGAAACAAGAGAGAAGGAGTTGGAGGGATGGAAAGAGAGACGGAGTAGGGGATGAGAGAGAGGAGCAGATGAGAAATAAGTGATGTGGAAATACAGTTAAGAAAGAGAGAGAAAGGAAGAGAGAGTGGAGAGAGGGGCAAGCAAGTGGTGTGGAAACATTTCAGAAAGAGAGAGGATCTGTAGAGGGAGGAAGTGATGAGAGAGAGAGAGAAAGAGAGAAGGGGAGAGAGAGGTTAGAGAGAGAGGTGAATAATACAATAATGGGTAGGTGAAAAGAAAAGAGAGAGAGAGAGAGAGAGAGAGAATGAAAAAAATAGGAAAAAGAGAAGGGAAGAAGTGAGGGAAAAAAGTGAATGGGGGAAAGATTAAAAAGGAGGGGGTTAAGAGACAGAACGGAGAGAGAGGAATAGAGAGAGTGCAGGGTGGAGGAGACACAGAAGAGAGACTACAGGGATGGTGTGTAACTTTTACAGGAACAGTTCAAACTAAACAAGGACTAAATCTAGAACTAAATCCAGAACTAAATTCAGAACTAAACTCAGGACTAAACCATGACTAAATTCAACACATGGTGTATACCAGAACTGAACCAAGACTAAACTGACACTAAACCAAGACTAAATTTAGGTCTAAACATGGTCTATACTAGAACTGAACCAGGACTAAACTAAGACTAAATTCAGGACTAAACAAGGTCTAAATCAGGACTGAACCAGGACTAAACTAAGACTAAATTCAGGACTAAACACGGTCTAAACCAGAACCAGAAACCAGAAAAAAATAAGAGAAAGGGAAGGGAAGAAGCAAGGGAAAGAAGTGAATGGGGGGATGATTAAAAAGGAGGAGGTTAAGAGAGAGAGTGGAGGAGACACAGGAGAGAGACTACAGGGTGGTATGTAACTTTTAGCTAAAAAATAGATCAAAATAAAAGCATGTTTTTATTGTACTGAAAAAAGTGAGTGAGCTTGCATCTCCACAAACCTGACTCTTAATTGGGCGGGAAGTAACCGTCCTTACAGTTAGCAGAACCAGCCTATAAAGACTCTACCTACAAGTTTATGTCACCTATGCTTTCACCTGAAAATTCTCCATAAATATCCAAAAACATGACACAAAACTGTTCACAAGAAGCAGACAAACCTGATGTTATGTGCAGTTGTTTCATTAGCGGGATTCACGCTGATTGTTTTATGATGTTTCTGTGTGAGTCACTTAGTACAAACAGAGGGGGAGTGAAACATATTGAACATGTTAGTACGTTGTTTTCTGTGAATTTAGCATTTTGAAACCAATAAAAGGTGATCATCATGGAGATCTAAGTATGTTATGTCTTAGTATGTACCGTTAGCACATACAACTATCATAAAATCTGGAAAATGAATCCAAGATGGCGCCGTATGGTTTTCAATGGTCTATGCTCCAAAAAAAAATTCACTTCCACATGTCCTTCCTCAGTAGGGGCTAGTGCCTCCCAAACGCATGGATCATTTGGACAAATCAGAGTGAGAACTACTAGAGTTTAGCTAGAGTGGGCCCAGAGTGGGGCGAGGCTAAGTCTTACAAACCTAAATATTACCGGCTTTGAGCATTTTTAAAAGTTTATGTTGTGAAAATAGAAAAGAATCCTACAAAATCTGACCTTTGTGAAAGTTGTGGATGCCATGTCAGCCGAACACAGGCAGTCTGAATTACCAAAAACTGCATTGTGCTTCTATGGGAGAACTCTTTCTAGGCCCAAACTCCCGGGAACTGCAGTACCTGGAGCTGCCACGAGTTGGTCTGAAGCCAGGACAGAGGGGGAACGCCTTATCCAGGTTTTATTATAGAGCCATGTACAGTTAGTGTGCGGCCTTACCAGTGTCGGGGCTGTACATGTAGACGAAGCGGTTCCAGTCGAAGTGCTGGATGAGGGCCATGAGCGGCTCCTGCATGGGGGGGCGGAGCTGAAGGAGGAACTGGTTGTTGGTTTGGACGGGGAAGGACGGCGTGACGAAGCACACGTGGAGAGAGCCACAGAACGACATCAGCATGTTCACGGTGCGGCGGTCGTACACGCCGAGGATCGCATACACGCCTTTGGAGAACTGAGAGCAGACTGAGAGGGGGAGGGATGGACAGAGAGAGAAGGGGGACAGGTTTAATATAATAATCATAATCACAATCATAATCATAATCATAATGCACTGGGTTTATACAGCACCTTACAGCAAGGGGACTCCAACCTCAGGAGCCACCAGTAGCTCTCCACCTCTTTCCAAGTAGCTCACCAAAGAATTTCTGAATTGCAAGTTTTATGCTGAATAACTAAATGTTGATGAATAGATTGATTAAAATTGTAAATGTAGAGTTTTCATGTCTCACTTTGCTTTCTGCACTAATAAATGAATAACAGTGAATGTTCTATAGGTCTCTAACTGTTTAAGGCCATGGCTCTTATAAGTACTCAATTTCTTGCAGCCGCTAAAACGAGTAGCTCTCATTTTTGTTTGTAATGGTAGCTCACCGGCAGTGTTGGGGAGTAACAGATTACATGTACAGGCATTACGTAATCAGAGTACAAATTATGAGTAACTGTATTCAGTTACAGTTACTGTTTCAGTGAGTGGTAATTGGATTCCAGTTACATTGTTAAAATAAATGGATTACACAGCTGTATTTTCCTGTTTTCACATTTTGGGCTAAACCAGGTCTAAAACCAGGACTAAACCAGGTCTAAACAATATGACACCTAACAGTAGGGTGAACATAGTTTAAGGCAGCAGTGATCTCATATAGAAATCATTTCTCTATCGATAATATTTTTAATCTGGTTAAGGAAAGACTGGGATTTTTATTGTCTTTAAGTAGACAAAACTTCTTATGTTCAGATATCCTGGTCTTTGCTCCTCTACAGCAAACAAATGCCTGTTCATGGAGACTTGGGAACAACAGCCAATTTGAAGAGAACAAAAGAATTTTCAGGATGTGGTTGCTACATTCATGTAGTTTTAAAAAGCATGATAATATCAAGTAATCCAAAGTATTCATATTACGTTACTCATTTTAAGTAATTTAATGGATTATGTTACAAACTACATTTTGGGATATGTAATCTGTAATCTGTAAAGGAATACATTTTAAAAGCAACCTTCCCAACACTGCTCACTGGAGGAAAAATTCTGGAGACTCTGCTTTGCAGTGCATTATTCATTCACCCCACACTCATTGGTGGCAAGTACTATTATCAAAAGTCGAAAATCAGATACTAATTGAAACTAAAACTAGGGCACAAAAATGAACCTTTCCTGAATAGCATCACAATGATCTCAAGATGTATCAGAACAAGAAGTGGACTAAGTGGAGCGTTAGCCAAATAAAGCCTATTGAGGCAAGTATTATAGCATCCAAAGACCCAATCCGGAGTGAGGCTGATTAAGCAGGGAGCAGACACTTAGCAACACTGTCAATCAAACCTTTTGTCTGTTATTAATGTTCAAATCTTGATTGACGGATAAATAGCAAATCAAAAACACCAGGATCATGTAGAGGGGATTGATACAAACATTTTAAGACCAAAATGAGGAGCCTGACAGCAGCAGTTGCAGAGGCAAGAGCAATAGCTTTTCAATAGAAACTGAACTGGAGTCGATGGAGCCGGAAGTGCGCCCATGCTCACTTCCTGTTCAGAACGCAGCGGCTATATATTTGGCTATGTCCATTTATAAGTACAGTGTATGGCTACGTTTACATTGAAACGAATCCGCGCATCACTGTATCACCATACGATTTGAGTCTGTTTTTGTGTCCACAAACCTTCCCTATCCATTCAGCTTTAAGCATATTTGTTTACGTTTTACAGAAACAAAACTTAAAACAAAATGGCTAATTTGCATAAACTGAGCACTCAAAAAACAGCTTGCTACTGTGTGCTGATGCGATTCAGCTTCTGTCTGTGTTCTTTCTGTGACAGAGGGGTGTTCTGCTGATGGTGAGTCTGTTCTGTGGAGATGGTTCATGTTAAATGCTTCAGAGATTATACATGTCTACAGGTCGTACACACAGACCGTATGTATGAATGGACATATATTTTAGCCTCTTAGTGTTTTGGCCGTGAATTACTTTTCCGCGCATAGACCTACATCAGTATATCAGAGTTTTCAGGCGTCCACACAGTGTCAGATCAGATCAGTACTGAGATGAATTCGTGGGAACTGGCGGCACCACATCGTTCCGTCTCTGGAGCCGTTTTTCATCAGATTAGTGTGGACGAACACTGCATCCACAACGAAAATGACTCGAATATGTACTAGTGTGGATGGGACCTATGATAAGACCATATAGACAAGTATACGCCCATGGGCCACTATGGAACCTACCTGGACGACTGAGAGATGACACATGGTAATATAAATTAAAGTAATATTAATTACTGCTGAAAATCTTTTCCTTAGAATCAAAATCAAGTTTAACATTTTAGTATCATGGCAACACTAACACAAACTATGAACAGCAGCTTCTAACAAAACAGAAGTGGAAGTTAAATGCTGGTTCATAGACCTGGTCCCGAAGCGTGTGTTGCTCAGTGGCACAGCAGTCACCTCATCTCTCCTCTGTCCTCGCGGTGGCCTCCAAGCTAACGCTAACATGCTAACAACACGTCCCCTCTACTGCCCCTGAAATAACAGCTCCCTGTGGGCCGTGATATCGCTAACAATAGACCCGAGCCTCGAGCTAATGCTACCATGCTAACGAGGATCTGTCTCTTAGCATTAGCTGGTGTGAGCCGCGAGGGATGTGGCTTCACTGCATAAACTACAACAGTTAGAACGCATCATTTTATTTATTCTTTGCTCTTTGTAATTCTTTATGAATATATTTTTTGTTGTGAAATTTCCATTTTTCATAGTTTAAAAGATGTGCTGTGTAACTTTTAGGTTATTTGTTATGTTAGTTGTTTCTTAGTCCTTGGAGCTGAATAAAATAAAATAATAAACCACTTTCTAAAGCTATTGTGGAAAAAAACAGTTCACTTTTTTTTATATATATATATACTGACAGAGAAGATGCTGAACTTTGTGTCAGTTTTTGTTTTATGTAAATAGGCCCAGTAATGACTTGAGTTATTAACCATAAACCAGGTCAACAAAACTGCAATCTGACAGTTAAAGCCCCAGTAGGTAACTTTTTTGCCAGAAATATAATAAAAGCATTTTGTTTGTTTGTTTGTTTCTTGCTGTTGTTTTTGTTTTGTTTTGTTTTGTCTTTTTCATTACAAATGTTTTTGTTGCATTGAAAAGCATAGGATAGATGACGTCCTTAGTGTGATTAGGCATAAAACATATCTGTCTCCATGGAGATATCTCAAAGTATGGTTTTAACTTTCTGTTTGCATGAAATCGCAATGCAAATGACATGCCACCTCCAGAAAGTTGAATATTGGGGCTCTAAAGTGCATTTTACGGATATGTTTTCATATTATGACCTGGTTTAGAGGGATTGAACTAAATTACACAAAAGTTATGTTTACACTCAGTGGCAGAGTTAGCAGTTTGGGGGCCCTAGGCAAACTTGAGTTTGTCTTGACTACAATGCAACGACATGCACATCTCTATTTATTTGAATTATGGTGGATTGGAAACTTGTATTAGTTTGGTCACCTACTTGATAATCAAACCTGAAAGAAGTTTTACTTTTTTTGCTAGTACAATAATATTTTTGTTTACATCCATTACATGAGTTTTTTTTTTTTTTTTTTTTCTTATGATTATTGTTTAAAAGTAAACTACTCTCACTTAATGTCATATTTGTCATCATACAAAAATCAAATTGCTCTGAGGCCATTAGTGGCACTGAGGGCAGTTGGTTGGGGGCCCCTCCAGGTTTGAGGGCCCTACACAGCCACCTAATGGTAGCACCACCTCTATTTACACTAATACAGATAAATGATAATGACAGGTTTAAACTGTCAGAAAAGTGTCTTCTTTGTGCAAAAATTGTGTCTGTCCCCCTACTGAAATTACTGCACATCGCACCAGGTTTGTTAAGTTGTTGTGTACGGTTTTGTATCATGTTTTTTGTATATTTTTGGAGAATTATTGTGTGGATTATGTAGGGTTGTGGGTGGAGCCTTGTACAGAACATAAGAATTTAGCCAAAGGAGAGTCAAATATGGCTGAGAAGAGATTACTCAAATGTGCAAGAATGACATATAGAAACTCTTCAGACATGTTGCTCAAAAATAAATTTTAAATAAACAAAAATTAAATAAAGTGATAGGTGTTAGAAAGAAAGCAAATCCAATAGGCCTTCGTTCTTTTTCATCGATGAAAAGACGTGTGTTGGCAGCCGGATCCGCGTCAGTGCATTCTGATGCAGCAGAACAGTGACCAGATTCGCGTCACCTGCGGCTTTTGACTGATCTTTATTTAAACACGCAGACGACAGGAGCTGGGGGTCGCACAGATCTTTATTTAAACGGAGTGAGGACAGAAGCCAGGGGGACACAGCTGAGACCCCCCTCCTTCCCCCACTGCTCTCTCTCATACCCCGATCTGCCAACACTCGAAGAATTTAATATTATTATCATTATAACTGGCTTAAAGAGAGGATGTTCAGTACTTTTTGGAGCTTTCTACCATATTGTCACATCACCGTAAACCTAATCAAAAACATGAGGATTTAGACGTCATCCATGCATGTTTGAGTAATCTAGCGATCTCTCTGAGGCCCTATTCAAACCCAATGCTTAGCCCACAATCCTACGTCACCCATGCTCCCACACGACAATTCTCCACAAATTTACAAAAGCATGATAGAAAACCAAACTTAGACCTGGTTTAGACCTGGTTTAGGCCTGATTTAGACCTGATTTAGACCTAATTTAGACCTGGTTTACTTTTGTTTAGATTTGGTTTATTCTTTGTTTATACCTGGTTTAGCTCTGGTTTAGACCTGGTTTGGACCTGGTTTAGACCTACTTTAGACCTATTTCAGACCTAGTTTAGACCTGGTTTACTTTTGTTAAGACCTGGTTTATTCTTTGTTTAGAGCAGGTTTAGACCTGGTTTACAAAAGCATGATAGAAAACAAAACGCTACAACTTCACAAACCTGATGT